ATAATTCAAGATTCGTTTGCTCGCTTCGAAAGTATACTATCCAAGCAAGCAGAACAGATTAATAGGTACACTTATTAATCTGTTAACAACAGTCATTTATAGTTTAAAATGAATATTGTTCTCAAAATTGCTCTTTGGAACGCCAATGGCTTGGCTCAGCATGGTCAAGAAGTTCAATTGTTTATAAATAATCTTAAAATAGATGTTTTACTTACTTCTGAGACTGATTTTACAGATAGAAGCTATTTTAAAATTCCAAATTATACTTTATACTTTACAAACCACCCTGACAATACAGATCACGGAGGTAGTGCCATATTGGTTAAAAACTGTATAAAACATCATGAAATTCCAGGTTTTAGGGAACAGTACCTGCAAGCTTCAAGCATTGTTCTCGAAGACATGCAAGGACCTCTTACTCTTTCTGCAATTTACTACCCTCCAAGACATGTTATAGCTTATGAACATTTTGACCGATTTTTTACTTACTCTAGGGACTAGGTTCATCGCCGGAGGAGACTATAATGCCAAACATCAAGAGTGGGGTTCACGCTTGGCCACACCAAGAGGTCGACACAGTTGCTGAGGGTAATTAATGACAGCACTCTAAATCATATTTCAACAGGTGAACCTACTTACTTCAACTTATTGGCCGACTGTGGACTTCTTCATATCAAAAGGTATTAATCAAAACTACACTAATATCCAATCAAGTCTCGACCTATCCTCTGGCCATTCACCGATAATATTGCAAATCATCAGTACGCAAGTTTTTCATCAAAAAGCAACTGAACGGTTATACAATAAGAGCACTAATTGGGGTTTTTTTTGTCAAGAAGTAAACAAAAATTTAAACTTCAAAATTCAATTACAAAGCAATCAAAATTTAGAAGACGCCATTGGCTTATGTATAACTTGTATTGAAAATTCTGTGAGTACGTCAACTCCTGTCCTTCATTATTTGTCGAATCCTTGATTAAGTTACCCTATTTTTGTTAAAAAGAAGATTGCGGAAAAAAGAAGGTTGAGAAGAATCTGGCAAAATGGCAGGAATCCAGTCGATAAAACAAATCGTAATAGGGCATCTCGACATTTGAAGCGGCTGTTATATGATGTAAAAAATCGCTGGTTTGAGAATTACATCCAATCTCTATCAACTTCCGAAGCTACGGATTATTCCCTCTGGAAATCTACGAAGCGAATGAAGCGCCCAAAGATTTGAATTTCGCCTATTTTAAAATCTGATGGGAGCTGGGCAAAATGTAACACAGAGAAGTCTGAAGCCTTTGCTCAATACTTTGAGAATGTGTTCAAACCAAATGCGGCAATAAACAACGAGGAAGAGATACCTACTTGAATATTTGGATGCTCCGCTACAACTTGACTTCCCATTGCAGAAGTTCAAACCATCAGAACTAAAATCAATCATCACCGACAATCTTCATTCTGACAAGGCTCCTGGCTACGACCTCATAACTGGTAAAATACTTAAAGAGCTTCCACGAAAAGGAATAATGTTTTTTGACTATTTTATTTAATACAATGTTAAAACTTGAATATGTACCAGATCATTTCAAAAGAGCACAATTGATAGTCATTCCTAAACCTGGGAAGCCTCTTGACCAGGTAAGTTCATACCGACCCATAACTCTTTTACCAATAATTTCTAAGTTATTTGAAAAACTTCTTCTAAAAAGGATACAAGACCTAATTGGCGAAGATGTGGTTCCTGCACATCAGTTTGGTTTCAGACGGAAACACAGTACCGGAGAACAGGTTCACCGAGTTGTTGACGTGATACGTCAATGTATGGAAGATAAAAAGTTTTGCTCAGCTGCCTTCTTGGATGTTAACCAGGCATTCGATAAGGTGTGGCATGCTGGCTTGTTATATTAAGTGAAAATGTGTTTACCCCAGTCAATTTATACCATTTTAAAATCCTACCTTCAAAACAGGACTTTCCAAATTAAATATCAAGATGTCCTCACTGACCTACGTCCAATTGAATCTGGGATTCCTCAAGGAAGTGTCCTCGGGCCGTTTTTGTATATTCTCTACACAGCAGACCTTCCAGAAAATGAGTTGGTATAAATTGCTACATTTGCGGATGATACTGCAATTTTGTCTGTTCATCGTGATCCATTTCAAGCTTCTCTAAATTTACAGCAAAGGAGTGCAACCATGAGGCTCGGCGAGTACTTCTAATATAGAAATTATCCAAAGATACCAATCAACAATGCTGAGGAAGATAACAAATGCACCATGGTATGTCAGCAATAGAACACTACATCAAGACCTTAAGATGCCTACAGTTAAGGACGAAATCATGACCTTAAGTGAACAATATATTACGAAATTGGAATCTCATCAAAATCATTTAGCATTGAACTTATTAAACAACATGGATACAATTTACAGACTTAAGAGGCCATCAATTCTAGACCTGCCCTTAAGATTTTTGCATAGTTTTTTTTATTGAAAAATTTGTTGCTGACAATGCTTAACAGCTATTTTAATGTTCAAAAGTTAATTTGTTGTATTACGTAGCATTTACTTATTGTTCAATATGTTATAAAACAGATTGTAAAGTAAACAAATAAAAAAAATTGCCCACTTAGAACCCTCTGGGGCAGAGCCCTTTTGACGGATCTGTACCAAACTTCATTCGAACCATCCTTGAAAGATGCTTAATAATGCCTGAAAGTTTCATTACAATCTGTCGATTGGTTTCGGAGTCCATAACGTATATACATATGTACACACATACATACATAGTTCCTCTTTTATAGATATAGATTGAAAGAAAAACATCCAAAGGCTATAATTCCAGACATTTTTACTCAGATGGCAGATTACCAGATGGCATGGACAAAATTCCAAAGCTTGAAAATGCAGAAATAACAGCAGAATATGAACATTTAGAAAAGATAGCAAGAAAACTTCATGGTGTAGTGGAGGTCCAGGAGGAAGTTCATCCAAAAATTGGACAGATTTTTTTATTGTGTCATGGACGAAAGTACTTATTTAAGAACAGCCATAGCCACCTTGGCGATTAATTAAATGGAGAAGTAGTACCATGGCACACCATAAGAGCTCTGATGGCAAATAGTTTCATTGCAATTGACAAATGTACAGGTGTGAGGCCCATTGGCATAGGAGAATGTCTCAGACGCATTCTGGCCAAATGCATAATTTTAGCTTTTGGTAATGATGTAAAACAAGCATTAGGTACAGATCAACTTTGTGGATGGCCCAAATCTGGTGTGGAGGGAGGAATACATTTCATGCGAACGCAATATAGTGAACATAGTAATACAAACAAAGAATGGTGTATGATCCTGGTTGACGCAGATAATACCTTCAACAAAATAAACAGAATTGAAATGAAATAGAATGAAAATGAATTGAAATGAAAATTAAATGAAAAATTCTTTATTTAACCAGGCAAAGTTAAGGCCACATGGCCCTCTCTTACACTTAACCTGACAAACTTAAATATAAATAAATAAAAATACAATGAAATTTCTTAATCGAATATAAATCTATATATTTAACACATCAAGAACAGATTTAACAAAAATTCAATTTTTACAAAATAATAATTAATATAAATAGAAAAGACAAAAGAAAACACGTTCACACTCTCACACGCACACGCACCAACAATCTCGCAAATACGCAGAAGCCCTATAGGACACGCCAGCCGAGACCATTTGCTCAAAGTAATGATTTTTTAGTGCGAATTCATTCTTTATGGCAAGCAAGAGTCCATTGGCCAAGAGCTGCAAGAGTCATTTATAATACTTATCAATGTAGCTCAGATTTAATTTTCCAATGAAGTAATCAAAGATTGTATAGAGAAGAAGAAGTTACCCTATAGGAGATCCACTATCAATGATATTATACGCCCTGGCAAAACACTTCCATTAATACAAGAACTATAAAGAATAAAGAATGCCGAATACATCTCATGTTTGGTATGCAGGTGACTCTTCTTGACAAGGCACCCTTGATGATGTGGAATGGTGGGAACAGCTCTCAAAATTAGGTAAAAAATATGGGTACTTTCCTCAAATTAATAAAATAAAATAAATTTGTAATCATGATATTTCCAAACAATTTAAAAAGAAAATATCAGGTATGCAAATTTGTAAGGGTAGTCAATTTCTTGGTACAGTAGATCTTTTAGCACAGATTCCTTAACCTGTGATAAAAGCTGATTTAGCTTGTAGTGTAGAGGCGTATGGCCATGGGAGACTCAGATGGACTATGGATGCATATTGTTTGATGTTCGTGTCGTTGACACTGATCAAGGCCCCACTAGAGGACTGATGCTCCATCTTATGTCTCCATACCTCAAAAACAAGCTATAAAAATACCCCCGCCGCAGCAAACCTGCAGACTAAGCGAATTTCCATTTGCCTGATTGGATTTACACTAAAATGTCTACTTACAAAAAATATAACATATATTTCCCATTTAAATAGAATTAGTTTAACAAGTACAGCACTAATTAATGTTATGGTATATTAATGTTACTGTTTTCCTAGAAGCGGAGCGGAACACGATGTTAATCTATTTTCCGCTCTCCGCGTTCCTCTCTCCGCTTCCGCGCCTAGGAAAACCCAGCTTAAAAATTGATTGTTGAAAATTCTGATTAAGGCCACTCTTTTTCCCCCCATTTTACATCTAAAAGTCGTAAGCAGTAGTCGCAAGAAAAGAACAAGAAGAACACTAAGTCTTAGCACAGGAAACATACTTAAAAAAATGGTATGTTTTCTGTGGTCTTAGTCCATTTCTAGAAACAGCTGAAATTGATTTAGCTCTTTGGCTGAAATGGACTCAGCTGTTTCTTGGTCTCTGGTGGTCTCTGGTACAGCGGGACATAACCTAAAACCTAACATTAGGTTATTGTTATTAGGCTTTAGGCTAAGTTATCAAATAAACAAACAAATTTGCTTAATTTAAAAATTTTGTTCGATTTCATTATTTGATATGTGAGACATAATATTGTTTCATGTCATGATGTGCGTTGGGTTCAGTTAGATATGAGACTTTAACCTTTTATCTCGAGGTAAAACTGTAAAAGGAATACTGTTGCTATTCAACTCCAATCGGTAACTTGATGAATTGATAATCAACTGATCTAGTGTAAATTTTAAGAGTTAGTAATCAATAAAATCAAATTTCATGTACATATAGATTAATATTTTTGTTTAAGATGACACCCAATCTAGCCAAATTTATTTTGAGCTTTAGAATAAAACCAAATACTCAAGCAGCAATAGTCGCTAATATTTGGAAAAATTGCCAAAATCCTTCCCCTGAAACTCCCCCAAACAGATTAATTCAGCGCTATTTACAAACTCAGACTAGAATATTATATCACAATGAAGTGGCACCCTCTATTATTAGTGAATCTCCTATCCCCCTTATTAAAGACAAATCTAGTCCAAGCAAAAATATCAATCTTGATACTATAACAACAAGCGATGTTGCTGTGATAAAAGATACAGAAACCGATGCTTTGGATGCTTGTAAGGAAGACGTCTCAGACATAGGACCTTTTGCATCACCATCGTTTAATCTTGCTGCATATGTCAATGATTCGTTTACATTGCAACAGTTTGTTCTTCTGGGAGTTAAACTCAATGTATTGGAAAAGAAACCAGAAGTTGCTGAATACATTTTGAAGTTAAACTTTGAAAAACAAGTAAAGCCGTATTTAAGGTAGGAATGATTATGTAAGGCTTATGTAATCATTTATATAGGCCTAATTAAATACTTTTTTACTTACTAAGCTTAAGGTAGGCCTAACTTATCACTTGATAGTATTGAACATCGATGAGCATGATGAATTTTGGCAGGCCTATTTACAACTTCATCGGTTACATCAATCCCAAGTTATTTGTGAGAAATATTTAAGACTAGCAGAATACCCGTCCTTCGTACGGGGCTGGAATATAAGTATAAAATGCTTATGGCAGCTTCACAGAAGTAGTTATACTCAAGCTTTGTGTTTGCAATAAGGGAGGACACAGAAAGTTTTGATAAAATTTGCTTTTAACGAATTTCCCTATAGGGAAGTAGCTATTACCGTAGGTCTCATGGTAAGACCTAGGCCCGGGACCGATTAACTTTTTCATTTTGATGTCCCCAGAGGCCAAAAACACCATTCGTTCAAATTTTTATATATGTATATATAGGCCTATATCTATATATAGAGATAAGTTACCGGTACCAAGTTTTATCAAAATCGGACAAAAACTAAGTTACTCAAGTTATCGTGCGGATGGACACATATATATAATTATTATTAATTATGAGGCTGAAATTCGATACACCGATTCTTTGGGCATTAAATAGGACAACTAAGTAGTTTTTATTCTGATCGGGCTTTCGGGCTCCGCCTCAGTGGCTCTGGAGTTTCCCATGTTATCCTATCATATATCCGCTGAACCGATTGCCACGAAACTTGGTCTATACGTGTAGAATTTCATGGAATAGATTTATACACCATCAATTTCGTGATCCGTCCAATCGGCTCCGCCCCAGTGGCTCTGGAGTTTCCCATGTTAACCTTATGAGAAATGGAATTAATGAATCTTAACAGCTGTTTCAATTAAACAAGTTGGTTCTGTTCTATGATGTTCAATAGCATTAAAGTTACAAGGATTACCAACAGGGTGCAGCACCATTATTTCTTTTACATTTATGACAACAGCTAATTTGCAACCAAAAGGTGAGTGAGCGTAGCGAACGAACTTCAACCTGGAGGCGAGTTAGCGTAGCGAACGAGCTAACCTGAAGGCAAGTGAGCGTAGCGAACGAGCTAAACTGAAGGCAAGTGAGCGCAGCGAACGAGCTCCAACCTAAAGGTGAGTGAGCGTAGCGAACGAGCTCCAACCTGGAGGCGGGTTAGCGTAGTGAACGAGCTAACCTGAAGGCAAGTGAGCGTAGCGAACGAGCTAACCTGAAGGCAAGTGAGCGCAGCGAACGAGCTCCAACCTAAAGTGAGTGAGTGTAGCAAACGAGCTCCAACCTAAAGGTGAGTGAGCGTAACAAACGAGCTCCAACCTAAAGGTGAGTGAGCGTAGCGAACGAACTTCAACCCGTGATTGAGCCATGCGAACGAGATCATCTTGAAAATTAAGAATTTAAACGGGGCAAAGCCCGCGGGTTACAGCTAGTTCCCTTTAAATATGAATACTCATAAGGTTAACATGGGGAAGTACAGAGCCACTGGGGCGGAGCCCGAAAGGATTTTTGAGATAAGAATATGCCTATATGTTAATCGTGAATGTGAGCTATCATCATGCCAAATTTCAGCCCAATCTGTCCAGTAGTTAATGCGTGATTGAACTTCAAACAAACAAACACACAAACTTTCACATTTATAATATTATAGTAAGATTAGACTGTAAGTACCGGTAGGTAATTATTGTATTTGATTCGGCAACAAATGATATAATATTGAAAATGGATGCACTTACTATTGCTATTAATCAAAAGGTTGGGTTGGGTAAGTTTTTATTCTCTCTTTGCATAAGTTAGGCTCTTCAATATTAGTTATTTAAATATTGAAAGCATAGCCTGATACAATATTTTACTTATTATTTTGTGTCTATTCACTCCATTGGCATTTTTATTTCATTTTTTGTAGGCCCTCAATGGAACAGTCCAAACCCTGGTCTTGTTACCATTGAACATCCACCTTTCCATTGAAAGCAAAGTAATCCAGCAACACAATATGGGAGATAGTAATAGCTGTCAATAAGTATTAACATTTTCAGTAAAGCCGTGTTTATACGAGGCCAGTAGGTAGGCAGGCTACCTACCTCAATGTTACCTGAGCCAGGTAACCTTCCTGCCAAACAGGCTTCGTGTGAACGTGACTTGATATAGCCTAGAGAATATTTTTAATAAAACAGTTCTAGGCTAATCCACAAGTTCAGCCACTTTCAAACTGTGTTGTATTATTATTACTTTCAGATTTTTACATGATGTCGGAGTTCCTACTGAAGAATTTGGAAGATTTATTACGAAAAATCCGCTCATTTTTCAAGAAGACTTGGAAGATTTACAAATCCGTATCAATTACTTGGAAGCCAAAAAGTTTACCACTGAAATGATTTCAAGAATCGTTACGAGGAATCCATCATGGCTCAGCTTCAGGTTTGTGAGTTTTTTAACTCGACTTGACTCTTTTACTTTTTACTAAAAGTAGGCCTAACTGAGTTGTTAACACCTAAATACCTCTTCTTTTTACTTGAAACTTATTAAAAACTCAATAGGCCTAAGTCTTAAGTAAAATGTGTTTAGAAAATGTATTACTTTATATGACCAAAATTAATACTTTGATGTCAAAGGTTTCTATCTCATTTGTAAAAAGATAATACAAATCCATAGCCTATCAATAAATTTTTAAAATTTTTGAATAGGGAAGTGGTTATTATACTATAATCTTCATGATATATTCCAGGTCTGAGATCTTTGTATTTTTTGTTGTAGGGTCCCCAGAAACAAAAATATTTTCAAAAAGCTATGTACCGTACTTCTTTGTAAGTACTACAAAAACTCTCATTAAGATTCTCAAAATTTATGAAATATATCAATTGTGTAAACCTGTATGTATCCGTATTATCAAGTTGGAGAAGTAATCAGGATCTACAAGTAGAAGAGTGGATTTGTTTCCTTTAAATTTGTTGTTTCTGTAGTAGTAATAATGAGCACAGATTATTATATTCTTAGTAAATTTAAAATTAATAATCCATAGCTTACCCTAACATTATTACTTTTTAAATAATTTGCATGTAACCGTAATTAATAGTCAAAGGTATTAATCTTATGAATATTGTAACAAATAATGGGTATTTCTTCATCACTGAAACTGTACAATGTAGATCCTCAATATCTTCTATCATTTAAAATAATTAAAAGCTAAATCTTTAGAATGCCAACGACTGTTTAAAAAATTGTGTAGGGATAAGAAAAAAACACACTTTGCGCTATTGATTGACAATTGTTTGACAATGTCTGGACAATTGTGTGTTGGACGATTGACAATGTTTGGAAAGCAATGGGGACTTTTAAAAGAAAGGATAGCGATAGTATTGCAGTAGATATTGCATCGGTCACGTGGGTCAACCACTTCCAGAACTTGCTCAACCCACCGCGGTCGTCTACTAGTGTCAGCTTTGCACTTCCCCTGATTGTTGATTACGATCTCGACGCTAGCTTTACACTACATGAACTTGAAATTATGCTCCCTAGGGTAAAGTGTAATAAGGCTCCAGGTCACAGAGTATAGAATAAATATAGAGTCGCCACTCCTATACCTACAGCTATACCAGTAAAGAAGCCGATTTCCGCCATCTTGGTAAGAGAGTCAGGCTCGGAACTTTGAAAACACGACGTCATTACCACTGTGTTATTCTATGATACTTTATGAATTAGATGAAGCTACCGCTCCGAGGTTACATATAGAACTATCCCCCCCTTTGATATTGACCTAGGACTCTGCCCCGCGAGCTTTCAAAGTTCGGAGGTGAGAGTAATATAGTTGGTGTAATTTCAAAAGTAAATATTGATTGGTGGTTTCCATGTAACAATATAATGGTTTAAATGTAAATGCAGACCGGGCCGGCCGCCATCTTGGTACGAGAAGCCTGCTTCACTCCAGACGGCAAGTGCCGCCTCTATATTTATTCTATGCTCTGTGGCTCCAGGTCAGGGTGCCGTGTATGAGTTTTTTAAGAATTCCCCAAAAAATTTTCTTTTCAAGTTATTAGATTTATACAACAAAATGTTTGCCAAAAGTAATGTGGCACATAGTTTCAAAAAGTCCACAGTGTTCCCGTTACAGAATAAGGGAAATGTGAAACGGGTTGAAAATTACAGGGGGCTTTCCTTTATCAATTGTATAAGCAAAATATTTTCCAGTTTAATTAACAACACGGTTAACAAAATGGATTTCCAATAACAACATTTTAACTGAATTTCAAGCTGGTCTACTCCACAATCTTACTAATATTATAAATCTGGAAGTTGTGTGTGTGTTGCTCAATCAGGCATAAACTACTGGACGGATTGGGCTGAAATTTGGCATGATGATAGCTCACATTCCCGATTAACATTAAGGCATATTCTTATCTCAAAAATCCTTTCGGGCTCCGCCCCAGTGGCTCTATAGTTCCCCATGTTAACCTTATGAGTATTCATATTTAAAGGGAATTAAAGAATTTAGTCAGCTGTTTCGACTTTACAAGTTGGTTCTATAATTCTATGCTAGCGGAGCACCTGTCCTTCGTACGGGGTTGGCATATAATTATAAAATGCTTTGCAGCTTACTCAAGGTTTGCGTTTGCAATGGGGGAGGACATAGTTTGATAAAATTTGGTTCATAAATTTACGGTATGATATAGTGTAACACATCTACTATTGTCCTAATGTTCTACTACTGCACCTTAACAATAGAAAAAAATAAATTATCAAACATTCGCACAATATCACAAATAATTAATTAAATTAAAATCTCAAACCTAACTATAAACAATCCTACCTTGACAGTTCTCATTTTGTATCACAGCGTTTTTTTGCTGCTTAGTTCAAATTAGCTGTTGTCATATAATATGCAAAAACAAAATAATAATAGTGCTGCACCCTGTTGGGAAACCTTATAACTTTTTAATCTCTATTCAATAATTAGTTCAAACTCAATCCTAGAAGGGGCAAGACTTTTCCCTTTTTTGTAGATTTCTCGTCTGCGTTTGATACTATTGATAGAAATGTCCTTATTTTAAAATTATCTTGTATTGGAGTTTCAAGTAAAGTGTTGGCAGTGCTCAAAAATATGAATTCTGGAACAGAATCGAGTGTTTGGTGTACAACTGCATCTTTTGATACTAATATGGGTTCGAGACAGGGATGTATTTTATCACCTCCTGCATTTAGTTATTTGTCAATGACATGCCAGAATATGTAGGGGGAGGGATCCATTGCGGGGAGAAAAAGATTAGTATGTTCCCCATAGCAGCTAAAGTCAAACAAAAGTCAACAGTTTATTACACAGCTGAGTTTTTCGTGCTGTCCTATTGCTATCCTTTTGATGGTTTCTTTTCATTACTCTATAGCTTATGGTATTGTGTTTTTAGCTCCTATGGCAACCTTTCTTCAACTAATGATTTCGAATTTGGAAAATTATTGTGATTGTTGGAACTTAAAAGTTAATTAAACAAAATAAAAAACTATTGTGTTCAGAAAAGGAGGCAAATTGAGTCAAAATTGCAGATGGCCGTATAAGGGGAAACCAGTTGAAATTGTTAATGAATACTAATACCTAGGTGTTTTGTTCAGTACGTCTTTGTCCTGGGAGGTAAATTTTAAAGAAAAATCAAGGACAGCTTCATTGAGTGCAAAGGTTAGGCCTACTTGTTTTAATACTGTTACTAGGTCAATCCTGTGTTATAGTGCTTAAGTATGGGGCTGTTATGAAAGCAAACAAGTGGAGGCAGTTCAAAAAATGTTTATTAAAGAGTTGTTAAGATTGCCTGCAAATGCAGAAAACTACTTGTTATATATTGAAACAAATTTTGAAATTTTTCACCTTTTCACTTTAAGTCAACAGTAATTACATTCAGAAAACTATATTTCAATGGGTCCTGATCGTTTACCCAGGTTTCTACTAGGAGAAATTATTTCAAAAAACGTTGCTTGTTCACCGATTTGGAAGTCCCTAAGCAAAAAACTCAGTGTGGAGATTAATTAGATTTGTTTGATGTGGAGGGGGAGCGTATGCTTGCGCAGCTGACGACGGTGGTTGAACGAGAGAGACAGCGCTGGTGTAGCTGGAGCGAGGGACAAGCTTTGACAGCGCAGTAAAATGACCAGTATCTGCTCCTTGAACTTGACCGCGGCGGCAGGACATTGTTAACTGATAACGCAGACCTAGGGCTTGTGTCATGGATCAACAAAACCTCAAAAGCTCAGCTGATCGATTTGAACTACAAGCCATGGAGAAATGGGAATCATACTTCTTCTCTATGCAATCTAAATAAAGATGAACAACTGTATTTCATTTTGTTGCTGAGTGTCCGATCTTAAAAAGGGTTAGGTTCAGATGGCTAGGAAAATATTTTCTCGATCAAGAAGAATTCATTAATTATTAATTATTAAGACTGGGATGGGTGGCGTCGTCCTGTAATCCAGCTACTAGGAGGTCACGGATTGTGGATATTTATAGGCATGCACTGTGGATTCGATACTCCCTGGTGTGGATTAACGTCCGCACTAGTGAGTATTAAGACTATCCGCAGTACTATCCTGATAATTAGAGCAATTCGTATATACCAAGGAAATGTGGTTCGGATTCCACTATAAACTGTAGGTCACTTATTTGCCATTAGCTGTTTGGGCTATTAATTAACAGCTGTGTCTAAGGAATGTCAGCCTTAGTCACTAACAAGACTACAAGATCGCGCCACTCATCTCTATTCATACTTGGCTTAAAATACCTACATTGTATGGTCGCCATTTCATAAGAAAATATTAAACTATTAAAGTTTGAGTTATTTCGGGAAATTTTTTAGGGAAGCATGGTTCTATGTACGTGGGATTTAGTTCAAGAATTTAATTTTTGAGATGCAATTTAAATGAAGATTAATTTTATTATTTTTAGCTGTCAATAGGCATCCATACCAGAGCAAATAAGGTATTTTTTTCTTCTGTTTTATAGCTGTTCTAGTTCAAGTTATTTTGATTGTAAATTAACTAAATTTAACTTATTTTTCTTGCAAAACCATTATTTGTTATAAAATATAAAAATATGCCTGTTCTGTTAATATCTATTGTATTGCAACCAACAGACAGTCCAAAAGACCATTGTTGATGTGCTAGGCCAACTTTAAATTTTGTAATTGTATAGTTAGGCTCTTTATTTGTTATTGAATTATTGTAAACCTTTTATTTTGTTAAATAAAGCCCTTTTTCATTTCATTTCATTAAAATAATTAAAAGTGAACATTAACAATGGATAACACTTATTACACCTGTTCTTGTTGCAGTACTGTTGATATTGACAAACGACTTGGTTTCTTCCAAAGGACTTTTGTCTTGTCTGGTGATGAAGTCAGAGCACTTACAATAAAGAGACCGACCATCATAACTTACAGCTTAGGAAAGATAACTGTAAGTATCAGTCATAATTATGATCTTTATATTACTCTAGACGCTAAATCCTAATCTGCTTCAAACTTCTGTTCTTCCACCGATGCCCATATACGATTGGGGTTAATACGACACTGATACACCAATGTGTGTACTATAAGGCGAAGATGACTATTACAGGATTTACGTTTAAATGGATGGGATGATAGACTACCATCTCCCGTTCCTCATCAGTAACTGGTGAGAACCTCTTGTGCGAAGGAGTGGGGATTGTGGGAGAGCCCCTCACGCCAATTTAAGAAAATCTTTAAATTTATTTTATAATTTTTGAGTTAAAAAAATTAACTTTTTAATTTTAAAATAATTTTTAAATATTAAATTTTTTTAACATAAATTTTTAACTATGAAATTAATTTTAACTTAATTTTTTTATTATAAAATTTAACTGTCATAACCTAACGTAACCAACCAAACCTGCTGATAATATAAAAAAGGTATAAGTTAAGATAAAAATCAAATGAAGGTTTACTTATAATTTTTAATTACTGTATAAAATAAATTTTAATTTTTTTTTATTAAAAAATTTTACTGTCATAACCTAACTGAACTAACCAAACTTGCTAATAATAAAATATAAAATAAAAATCGAATGAAGGTTTACTAATAAAAAAAAATACCTAGTTCTTAAAAAAATAAAGTTAAAAGTAAAAAAATAAGCATAATCTTGGACAAAAAGTTAGTGTTGCCGGCGAGATTCGATCCGGAGACCCTTCGATTACCAGTCTGAGACGCTATCAACCACGACACGAACACCGATGGAATCTCAGCGTCACGTTACGGTAATGGTGTTCCCTCAAGAGTAGAGTGACGTCACGCCCCCTACTCCTTCGCACAAGAGGTTCTCGCCAGTTACTGATGAGGAACGGGAGATGCTATAGGGATGATAGTTTTGTTACTTACAAAGTTCAGCTGGTTCATTAGCCAGGACTTATTAAAATCCCAATGATCAAGGCCAGCTTGGTCCAGTTTCAAACAAATAAAAAAGATTCAGACTTTTCTTAGGATTGGACCAGCGACCTGCTGATTGCTAGGCAAGCACTCAAACCAGTTGTTAAAATTAAATTTTAATTTTTAAAATTAAAACTACGATAAAAAAATTAAAAAATAAAAAATCTGTAGGATGGGATGGGATTTCAGTTGAAATAATAAAAAATATTATGAACTTTATAGCGGAGCCACTGTGTCTGATTTTAAATCAATGTTTTGATGAAGGAATTTTTCCATACCAATTAAAAAATGCTGAACTGAAACCACTTTTCAAAAAAGGTTCAGTAGAAAACCCAGAAAACTATCGTCCGGTGTCAATTTTACCATCTCTATCTAAAATTTTTGAAAAAATAGCATATGAACAAATGTACTCTTTTTTTGAAAACAATGATCTGTTTACAGATAATCAATTTGGCTTTAGATTGGAAAAAAACACAATATCAGCTGTCTCTGATTTCATAAATCGAGTGTCGGAGGGCTTGGATGGATCTCAGAGTACTGCAGCAGTGTTCTGCGTTCTTTCCAAGGCGTTCGATTGTGTGAACCATAATGTATTAAGCAATAAACTTAAATATTATAACTTCTCTGATCTGGCGCTGTCTTGGATACAATCATATTTAAGAAACAGGCAACAAAGAACTGTCATTAAGAAAAATGGTAGAAATTTCATTTCAAAATGGCAAACCATCAATTGTGGTGTACCCCAAGGATCAATTTTAGGTCCCTTGTTATTTTTAATATTCATTAACGATGTACCTAACAATGTATCATCAAACCTAATATTATATATGCTGATGACACTACAGCCATAGTAAAAGCAAAAGATGTACATACTCTTAGATTAGAACTTGATCAATCAATTGTAGACTTAACTAACTGGTTTGCGGCAAATGGTTTAAAACTTAATAATGCTAAAACACATATTATGCAATTCCAAACACTACAAAATAAGCAAAACATAACTTTTGAATTACCGTACAAAAATGATATTTTAGCTTTTGTTGAACAAACTAAATTTTTAGGCATAAATATTGATAAAAATTTGACATGGAAACTTCACATTGAAATACTAGCTAAAAGATTACATACAGCTTGTTTCCAGATGTATGTTTTAAGAAACATAATTGATTCTAAAACAAAGCTGATAGTTTATTATGTGATATTTTTTTCCATTATGCAATATGGTATTGAGTTATGGGGCTCAACATCATATGCCTCAACAATTTTTAAGGTACAAAAGAAGTTTTTAAGAATCTTATCATTTACACACAAAAAAAGTCATGTAAACCGCTTTTTAAAACATATGGAATTTTAACAATGCCTTCACTTTACATTTATAAAATTCTGGTATACTTTAAGAGTAATCCACAATTATTTATAAAAAATCAATTTATTCATCACTACCCAACACGTTCAAAAAATAATTTGCAGTATCCAAGACATCGGCTATGTGTTTACGAAAGATCACCGTACTATATGAGTCTGAGGCTTTACAACGGTTTACCTGCTCATTTTAAAAACATCAATAGTATTATAAAGTTTAAGAAAGAATTCAAATTATTCCTTATAAAAAAGAAATACTATACAATAGAAGAGTATTTAAATGATTGTTTTTACTTTCTCCCCCTATACCATAGTATATGGAGAAAGTATTGTTTTCGTCAAAATTTTCGAGTTTGAGTTTTGAGTGGATATATTCGTTTTGGGTCCCCCTGGACCTAAAAAAGTGGTTTTCGAAGTGATGTCTGTGTGTGTGTCTGTGTGTGTGTGTGTGTGTGTGTGTGTGTGTGTGTCTGTGTGTCTGGATGTGTACAGAGCTAGAGACCACACCTGTGGTCCGATTTCGATGAAATTTGGTATGTAGGTTCTAATCCATGGTATCTCCAGGCGTTTTTTTCATTTTTTTGAAATTTTGATTTTTAATGGGAATTTTCCCATAAAAACCCATAAAAAACCGGAAAAAACAGATTTTCTCGAAAACGGCCCGAACGATTTTGATAAAAATTTAGTATGTTGTAGCCCTTTAAATTCTAAATAAAATAGTACAAACCCCATATCTGTAAAAATTACGGTTCAAAAGTTATGGTCAAATATTTTATTTTCCCATAAAACCCCCATAAAATAACAAAAAATAGGATTTTAGAAAAACATCCGGTTTTGATTTAACATAGTATGTTATACTCCTTACAGTTTTGATAGTTTTTTTATTTTTTTGGAAATTTTTATTTTTAATGGGGATTTTCCCATAAAAACCCCATAAAATAACGAAAAAATATGATTTTCCCAAAAATGGCCCGAACGATTTTGATAAAAATTTTGTATGTTATAGTCCTTTATATTCTGAACAAAATGGTACAAATCACATTTATGTTAAAATTACGGTTCAAAAGTTATTGTAAATTATGTCATTTTACCATAAAACCCCCTTAAAATAACAGAAAAATCGGATTTCCTCAAAAATGGCCCGAACGATTTTGAAAAAAAATTTAGCATGTTATAATCCTTTAAATTCTGAACAAATTTTACAAATCTCATTTGCGTATACAGTTATTTACTCTCACCACTAACACATGATAAAGGTTTTTGACAATTTCATGATGTTTCATAAGTTTTTGACAAACTTATGGGAGAAAGTATGTGTCAGAATGCTGATACCGTTTATTTAAAAAGTGACTAGTTTAATTTTAATTTTAATTCTTAGATTTAGTTTTTCATTTTTGTTAGCTAAGAAATGACAATGTCATCTGTTTCACCAGCTTTGCTGGAAATGTGAAATGTTTTATGACAATAAAGTGATATTATTAAATATTAATAATATTATAATATTACATAATAATATTATAATATATAATATATAATATATTATAATATTATATTATTAAATAATATAATATTAGTAATATTATTATTATTATTAAACCACTCAGCTTTACATAGCCTATTGATAGTATCATCAATAAAAAAAATTTGAAATGTATTTGATGTTATTGGATTGAAGCACTATAAAAATGCATGTTCCTAGGTTTAACTTAAAAATTATCTCTAGCAATAACTCAGGGGTCGCCAACAAGTGGCCTGCCCGCCGCAAATAGATTTTTTCCGGCCCGTAAAAAGTTAGCATAGGCTACTAAAAATATTATTTTTATGGAAAACTAGCAGAGTACCCGTCCTTCGTACGGGGTTGAAATATAAGTACAAAATGCTTATTGCAGTTATACTCAAGCTTTATTTGCGTTTGCAATAATATAAGGACACAGTTTGATAAAATTTGCTTTTTCAAATTTACGGTATTCTATAGTATTACCTCAGAGTAATAAAACAAAATTTTGTTTTATTACTCTGAGGTATTACACATCTACCATAGCCATAATGTTCTACCACTTCACCTAAACAATAGAGAAAAATAAATTATCAATAATTCGCAAAATATCACAAATTATTCATGAAATGAAAAACATAAAGATAACTGTAAACAATCCTACTGTGACAGTTCTCATTGCGAATCAAGTTTTTTGTTGCCGCTTAGTTCAAATTAGCTGTTTTCATAAATGCAAAAAATATAGTGCTGCACCCTGTTGGTAAATCTTATAACTTTTTAATGCTTTTCCGTATCATGGAACCAACTTTTTTAGTTGAAACAGCTGACTAAATTCTTTAATTCCCTTTAAATATGAATAATCATAAGGTTAACATGGGGAATTGCAGAGCCACTGGGGCGGAGCCCGAAAATATTTTTGAGATAAGAATATGCCTATATGTTAATCGGGAATGTAAGCTATCATCATGCCAAATTTCAGCCTAATCCGTCCAGTGGTTTATGCGTGATTGAACTTTAAACACACAAACAAACAAACAAACAAACACACAAACTTTCACATTTATAATATTAGTAAGATTTATTATTCACGAACGACCGCCTTCTGCGATTGTGTAAACACTCTCATATCTTGCCGTCTCGGCGATACCGTGATCTTCTCCCTGTAATGTAGTGTCACCCACGCATATCATACTTTTCCAACTATACCCTGAATGTCTTCGAAGATCACGGGCATATCTTGGGGTCCCGGCTATACTTAAAAAAAAATACTTTTTCAATGAAATGGCGACTATACAAAGTAGGTATTTTAAGCCAAGTATGAATGGAGATGAGTGTAGGATGAGTGGCGCGATCTTGTAGTCTTGTTAGTGACTAAAGCCGGCTTATATACCGACTATATACCGTGATCGTACCCTTAAACCATCTCAAAAACTAAAACTTCAGCCCCGTTCACACGGGACAAGTTTAAAAGCTACACAAGAAGCCAGCGAGTGTGCTTGTATTCGTTCACACGATGCTTTTTCCACTCGCTCAGTAGCTGGCTTCCAGACCACATGGGTGTGTTTTATTTGTGAAATCTTGCTGGTCGTGTTGGTGTTTGCGTACATTTATACTGAAATGGACTGTGGGAAATGTATCTCTGTTCCTAAACATGAAGGTACCAAAAGTACCCAGCCTTGTGTAACATCATAGTTGAAAACTATGCCAATAAACCGTTGAGGGATACATTTTTTTAACAGCTGATGATTGGAGAAAAATAACAGAACATCAAAAGTAATGTTTTTGATGCACCATAATCCGTACGTCTTCAAACCCACTGTCTCACCCACACTTTCCTCCTTTTCCATTTCTCATCTTGCCGTCTAATCAATTAAATTTAAACACTTTTGCTACAACTTAACTCCCTGTAGCTCCTACTCCTCCGACATATATTCGAATAACATGCGCACAAGCACAAGCAACTGTGTTCATACTGGCTACTTACACGCTAGATTGCTCAAAAGCTGGCGAGTAGGTGTGTAAAGTAGCCGCAGAGTCAACTTTTTCCAGAATGTTTTTGAAAATAGCTTTTAAGCGAGCACTTTGTTCACACTGAGCTATTTTACAAGCTACGTGTAAAATAGCCGGTGTGTAGCTTGTAAATTCACCCCATGTGAACGGGGCTTTAGCTCTTAATTATAAAACGGCTTTGTGGTTTTATGGGAGAGGGTAGACTGAAATATTACAGGGCTCTATTGCTGCTGCTCTATATCCTGGTTTAACGTGGTGAACAACAAGTCCCTGTGTGGATTGATATGAGTAGTGATATCTTACCTACTTTTTCAGGTTTCCCATTTTGCAGTTAAAGAAGAAATGGGTTTCAGCGAAGTAGAGACTAAGACGCTACTTCTCAGATGCCCCAAAGTCTTTGATATCCGTAAGTATTTATTACTTTTTTATGCTGTTATGAAGAATAGCATTTTTTCAAACAGTACAAGTATACTTCTCATCCTATTAGTGTCTTTTATGTCAGTTAATGTTAGAGTACGCGGGTCACAACTAACCTAGATGATAGGAAGAGCAGACTCATGTGTGCAGTGGTTAAGTCTTCTCAATAGGAAATACATTTATACAGGGTGAGTTGCTACTAAGAGCGTTGATTTTTACCAATTATTCTACTCACTAAAAGGAAGAAAACATTTAGCCTAAATCAACGCTATGATTTTGTCATTTATACGCAAGATTGGTTTTTAGCGTCAAATTCATAGTAAAAAGTCGTTATTTAAAAAAACCGCAAATTACGTTATTACAGCTAAACGGCTAAGGTCAGACCGCTGTTTATATAATTTTGTCGTTCCTTTTAGTGAGTACAATTTGTAAAAATTAACACACTTAGACTGGGCGCACACTGGTTCAGCATTTACCCTGAAGCAAAATGTTGCACAACAATTTGCTTGAAGCATTTTGTTTCTTTGCTTCTCCAGTGTGCGGGAGGTTCAAGCATGATTCAGCATTTGGTTTGGTTTCATTGTTAGTCCCATAGATTTGAACCAGTATATTTGTAATTCTCTTAATAAATCTTATATTGTAACTTACTAAACCTATTTATTTTTAAAGTATTTCATCTATTATAAGATTAAAATTAAAACTCATCAGACAAATAAACAAAACATCAGTTAGGAATGATCTTCATTAAAAATTTACACGGCACTCCTACCGGTGGGCGCCCAAACCTTCCTTTGACAGTCTATATTTATTCTATTTCTCTATGGTTGTATCATTGACTATATATACCTGTAAATATATATAGTCAACTAGGTGAAACCCGTCGAAATCGACGGTTACTTTCAAGGCTTACGCTGATTCATCTACGAAAAGTTAGGTGTAGTGGAATATACTTGAAGTGAAGTTGGCTTTTATTCATGGACTGTTAAGCCTGTGTCACACTATGCTACTTTGCTAGCAGCTAGCGAAATAGCAGCTACTAAGTAGCCAATGTGACATAGGCAGTAGCAGCTACTAAGAGTAGCGCGCTAGTGAAATTTTACTAGCATGGAAAGTTGAACATGTCCAACTTTCCGTGCTACTAAACTGCGCTAGTGAGTCACGTGACCAACTAGCAGCTATCAAGTAGCGACTGTCACCCAGTGTGACAGCTTCAATAGCAGACTAGCGGCTACTTGCACCACGTGCTGTCTGCCTGATTTGTTTATTATACTAGTTCATTTTGAATAATTTCTGAAGTAATCATGAGTGATACGAAGTGGGGTGGGGGAGATGTGATTAATTTTTTGAACCTGTATAGAAAATATCCGTGTCTTTGGGACATAACCTCTCTTGAGCTAAACTAGTAGTAGCAGCTAGTGAATAGACGCTACCAAAATAAGTGTGACAGGAAAAGTAGCTGCTATTTCAGTAGCTGCTACTAGGTAGCTGCTAGTAAGTAGCCAAGTGTGACACAGGCTTTAGGGACCTCCTCGTTTATATTAAAGTTGTGTGCCTTTGTTGGCAACAAATAATGCAAATGACATAGCAATGTGGCATTTCCAAAAAGCAAAAACACTGTAAATTAGCAGTTACGTCAATATTGACATTTACATGCATTATTAAACAACGTATCTTATGAAGGATGATGTGATCTAGTTTAAAAGGAATATGACCTTTCTGTCATGACAGTAGCTGCTTAAATAGTAATTACACTTTATGCTTTTTTACAGCCGAAATGTCGTGTTATAATCATGTTAACAACCCAGTGGGCCAAGGTCCATAAAATAGGCCACTGCAAATAATTTGTCAAGATAGGTACCATTTTAGTCAAGGATTCTGTCTTTGGATGTTATTAGACACTATAAGAGCACAATAAATTTCTTCTGCAGATAAATAATCTGCTTGAGAAATATAAGCCAAATTATAAATGTTAAAATGCGAGTTCGAGCATTTTGTAACTATATGGGTAATTTAAATTGTATTTTTTAGGCTGCTGCTCAGTGCACTTTAAGAATATATTTTTTTGAGACAAATTAAAAGGTTTTTGTTGCTGAGTAGCGCTAGTAAACATGCACAACCCATTTCGTTATTCTAATAACATTCAAAGGCTCTCACATAGTTCTACATAAATATTTTAAAATGTCTTATCCAGCTGCTGTAAACTACTATTAATAACAAAATATGGACACGGCTCAAATGGGCAACATGCCTTTCTGCACTTGTATTATTTTATTTTGTATGGTATTACACAATCGAAGATTTTTCCAATGATTGGAAACATGTATGACAGTAATCTCATGAACCTATGATGATCTGTCTAGAATAATATGATAAAATATAGGCAAAAGTGGTGAAAAAAGACTCCAACCCGTAAAATAGATATTAGATAGTTCATATGAGAAATTATTGTAAGAGTTCTGTGAATTTCCACTGATTTCGTAATGGAAAGTTATATTGCAAAATATGACATGATACAGAGAAAAATCAATTTTAAAATCAGAAAATAACATTGCAAATACTTCTTTTGGACATCTCAGTAACTCCCAATAAATGTGTGTTGTTTAAACCACAATTTAAAAATTAACAGCTGTTTCATTGAAAAGTATTATCCACATGGCCAAAATGTAAACAAATCTGTCGAAGGATGTTTAAAGGCTTCTGGGGCAGAGCCCTAAGGGACTTTACTTCGTGTTTCTTTTGATAACTCATCTACAGACCAAGGTCTTTCTTTTGAGACCTCTACCAAGTTTCTACGCCCAGCCGTTCTCTCAAATTAGTGAAGACAAAGTTACCAATTAAATTTTTAGATTCTCCCATGTTAATCTTATGGGAGAAAACCTAACTTTGATGCAATATCCTGTTCAAACAAATAAAGATTTCTAAAAGCTAAAAACACTTTGCAAAACTACAGATCAGGGCCATTTTTTTGACACTTTAATCATCACAATCGGTCCTAAAATGAGGGAGGAGTTCTGTTTACAAAAATCGGCTTAGCGTATTATATATATAGATGGTTGTATGTTGTATGCAATGCATTTTCAAAACAGAAGGCGCCGTTCACACATATTGTCGGCATCTTGAACGTGCTCGACGTGTTGGATTTGTTCAAAACAAACAAACTATACCTCGTCTGGCGATTGATGGAGATGCAGAAGCGGATGTTATAGCTGCTACCTACAATGATCCTCATATTTAACGTGTGAGATTTCTAGATCCTCAACAGTTAGCCAATCTTTATTGGTAAGATTGGTAAAATGCGTGGCTTATTATAGCTGTATGTCAACTTCTTCATCGAAATTCATTTTGACTTATACAGGGTGTCCCGGAACTCTCTACCAATATTTTAGGGCATTGTTCCTGGGTAAGAAACATATCTAAATATCATATTTAAATTGTCCGGAAGTCCTTATTTACTCAGATAGCCGCCATTTTGTTTTTTTCACTTATTAATTTTTTTCTGAAGATTGGTTAAACATACGAAGTTGAAACTTTGCACAAACATTTATGACAACTAGACAAAGCTACAAAAAAATTATGACCATTTTTCAAATTCATAAAACAAAATGGCGGCTGTTTAAAATTTTGTTTCTTAAATTACTCGAAAACCGTTGATTTTACAAAAATTTTACAAGAATAACTTTTTTAAGGCAATTTTATTACAAATCGATCGACACCTTAATCTTTAAGATCGGACGAGTATTAACTGAGATATGGCAGTTTTAGTGATACGTGACCGCTTTCAGCATGCGCTGCAACTAATATCCGGCGGTCACGTATCACTAAAACTGCCATTTCTCAGTTAATACTTGTCCGATCTTAAAGATTAAGGTGTCGATCGATTTGTAATAAAATTGCCTTAAAAAAGTTAATCTTGTAAAATTTTTGTAACATCAACAGTTTTCGAGTAATTTAAGAAACAAAATTTTAAACAGCCGCCATTTTGTTTTATGAATTTGAAAAATCGTCATAATTTTTTTGTAGCTTTGTCTAGTTGTCATAAATGTTTGTGCAAAGTTTCAACTTCGTATGTTTAACCAATTTTCAGAAAAAAATTAATAAGTGAAAAAAACAAAATGGCGGCTATCTGAGTAACTAAGGACTTCCGGACAATTTAAATATGATATTTAGATATGTTTCTTACCCAGGAACAATGCCCTAAAATATTGGTAGAGAGTTCCGGGACACCCTAAAAGGAGAGTATTAATTATTTGCTATAACCACAAAACCATCGATAAATACTAAATGTTAAATTATTCAAAAACAAAATAAACAATTGATCAGCTGATTATTATTCTTCTATCAACTAATTATCTTCATTCACGTGAAAGCGTTACTGATATGTGGTTTTAAACAGTAAAATACAATATCCATGGTTATACGTGGCTTATTATTGCTGTATCTTCGAAACGGTTAGGAGTATCAAAAATATGACAAGAGTAAAAATGTCTTAAAATTTTACGTAGAATCCAAAAAGCGGAGGTTTCCATTGAAAAAATTAAGTTGTCCACAAAGAATACAAATTGCCTTCTTTAAAAAGTACTTTGATACAAAGTTTCTCGTTTCTTCCTATAAACATGAAACATATTCCAAACAATTGCTCTTTAGAAAGTGGTCATAGTGACCATGAAATATTTCTTTTTGCCGTGTGTGTACCGGGAGAGTTTATACTAAGGCCGCACACTGATGCAGAATTTCACCTGAAGCAAGTGTTGCGAGACAAAATGTTTAGCTGGGTATGAGCACTCCTTGTATTTCAATGGGAGGCCGCACACTGATCAAGCAAACATTGCAAGGTGCCTCGCTACGCCTTAAAACATTTGAGCAACCGTCCAACGAATGGATCAGATAAATAAACAAAATATAAACAGAAAATCAAAATAAATGGAAGCAATTCCAATAACATGTTTTATTTATTTACAGTGTGGGGTAGAAATAGAGAACTCTGTACATTACATTTTTTTGGTAGAGTTTTCGACCATTGGACTCTAAGTACTAATTAATATTTGGACAAAAAGTGTTTGTGAAAGTATATGAAAAATCTACTATGGTTTGTTTTGTTTCAGATACACAAGCATTGAAGAACCGCTTTGATCTTATACACAACCTTATGGGCGTTCCACATGAACAAATTCTTGAACAGCCTCATGTTTTGCTCTTCAGAGAATTCATAGTGAAACAAAGGCATGATTTTCTCAAAGAGCTCGGAAAGGCTCAGTACGACCCTAAGTTACCAAACTACGTATCCCTGGAAACACTGGTGCACGGCAATGATGTGGACTTTTGTCGCAATGTCGCCAAGACAAGTATTAATGTGTTTAATGCTTTCTTAAAATCAAGATAGTTTGGCAAATTTTGATCTAGGTGTCTCTTTTTTAACAAAAACGTTAGTTGAATGAATACATTTTAATCGAGTAATTCAAATTATTAAGATTGGGTGTACTTTGAATGGTTGATGTTAACGGTATTTTCAAAAATACTTTACAAATTTGAAGATATATAATATAAACTATGTTTCGTAAAAACAGAAGGTTTAAGAAACCTTAGATCAACTTCTTATTAACTACTCATCCCAACAATACTTTCTTTATTCAGTTTTGTCAATTTAATTTTGATACAATAATACATCACAAAACTTAGCCATCGCCCAACTTTAACAGTTATGTTGTATAACTTCTCTCTTTAGAATAAAGTCTTGGGAATCTTAGCATTGGTGACAATGTATGAAGTATTATAATACAGTAATGTAAACTATGTATTAAATTAAATATCTTTTTTTTTTACTTTCTCCCCCTATACATTGCATTTGGAGAAAGGATTGTTTTTGTCCAAATATCTTCTATTTGATACACAATTAAATTTCAATTGGAAAAAATAAAAATAAAGTTTCTCTGTCACCTAAACAATGAGAAATTCAAATGAAATTGGCCTAAATAAAGATAGATTATATTTTACAACTAAAGAAATACGTTTTTCATACAAGTATAAAACAGGAACAGGTATGCTAGTTTTTATCATAAATAAACAGTTTCAATGTATAATAATTTCAGATGTTTTTATTTTAAAACACAATAAGTCATATCAAATCAACTCAGACGTGTACAAAGATCAATTGTGATGGAGAAAACAATATAATATTATGATTTTACACTGGTTTTATGACTCCAAAGTGAAATGTCACAAAAAGTCAACAATTATTGGAGTATTTACTACTACAGGCTAATTCACAAATACAATGAAGAAAGAACTATTTTTTAAATGTAGAATTTCATTGTCTTTTATAACATGTTCTAGCATTTGTTTTTAAGAATCAATATCAAATACATCATTACAAAGAGATATTTTTTTTCTGGCTCAGATGTCTTCATACTGCCAGGGAAATAATAATGAGTGATAGTTGTAAGGCTTATAAGCGATAATTTTATTATTTCAGTGAAACAAGGGTAGATATAATGTGACTGCTACCACTGTGGTAAACCACCTCTCTTTGGACACCTTGGAACCAAGTTTTTAACCCTTTGAGTGCCTCGAGCAGGTGAAACAATTGTATTTGAGGTTTGCCAGGCCTACATGTGGTGTTGCTTCTAGGATTGCCGACCATTTTTCACATAAATGCAAGTGTTTATGAAAATTGTCATAAAATACTTATTTATTAACATTTTTGGCCTAAATTTTAAACTTAAACTTAAAGAGAAATGCACGAGACGCTGGCATTTCTCGCGCAACCTTGACCGTCTCGCTACGAGACGCTCGGCACTCAAGCTACGACAATGGTGCGTCTCGGAGCGAGACGCGGTGGCACTCAAAGGGTTAAAAAAGCTGCACCATCATAGAAGTTAAGGAAAAAGTTAAGAAAATCAAAAAACCTAAAATCAAAAAACCTTAAGTGACTCTTATAGGTCTGAGGAAATTGGGCGAGGATTACCCAGGTCGCCCTAAAAGCCATACAAATCTAAAAGGGAGTAAACTGTATTTGGACGTTAGAAGCAAACTACAGTAGATTCCTTATTATCCACAATAATGAGTGAGTAAGTGATCGTGGATAATGCAACCTGACCTAAAATGCCTGGGAAATAACTAAGATCGACTTTAAATATGTAGTAAAGCTTTAATAAAGGTTTAGTTAAATATACGTCTTTTTAAATACAGTGAAGGAACCATCCATCTTTGTTTAGCCAACTGGCTAATTTTTTTAAAACGATTAAGTTCAGCTAAGTTATCCGAGGTAATTAGTGTCTAGGGGCTTATGGATAGACAAAAGGTCTTTCTCTGAACATTAATCTGCTCGGTATGCTGAACGCATTAAAAAAAACTCCTTATGTGTATTTTTACACATTTAGCTTCAAAGAACGAAACTATCTAAATTGGCCTATAGGCCCCTGAATATGTGGTTTGACCTAGAAATAATTAGAACACAGATGAAACCATTGTTGTTCGATAGTGAAAAGTATTGTGAATAACATATCAAAAGTCTCCAAAAATATCTTTGGTGGAACACCACCATTTTTCCAAAATGGCGGCGAAATCCAGTAGTTTTTTGCTTTTTATTGAAATTCTGACTTTCCAGTCAATATTGGTGAAAAGTCGTCAATACATTTAATGTTCCTCCTGAAATTACCTTTAAAATGATACCAAATACATGTACCTACAACAACAAATAAACCCCGTAGAAATAATAAAATATTTAAAATAAAAATATTTTTTATAAATTAATGTAATAGTCCAAGCAAACTAAAAAATCCAGACACAGGGATCGTATAAAAATTTGCAAGTAAACATTTTATGGTTTTATTTTTATTTTTGTGGTGTGCAGAGTGACATACCAAAAGTTGCAAAAATCAGTCCACGGGAAACCCCTAAATTAAGGAAAAAATGGCGGCTTATCCCAATGTTAAACAAATTTTGCAACAAAAGATACCACATGTTTTTTTGCACATTTTTCGAGATATTGACTTGGAACCACGATCGATATTTATTGGATAGTCCGTACTTAATTTCAACAGAGGACGCTTTTTGGGCCGCCATCTTGGATCAGCCAGATTGGATCTGCCATATTGGATATAAATATTTGTTTATGTAATTATAGTGTTGTGACACATCATTATGAACTAGATTTCCATGCTGATTTCAATGCTGAAATCAGTTTTTTAAATAGCGTTTTTTTTCGTTGCTTAAGATATATTAAAACGAAAACTCTCCCCTATACATCAGTTATGGACGTATCGTAAGTTACTTTGAAAATGCGTTTGGAATATTTTTCTCCAGGTATTATTATTGCTTAAAGTTCGTTCTAGCCTTAAAATATTCAGTGATAAAAGATCTTTCATTTTAGTTAGCTTTCATTTTGTTTTATTTATAGTTAAAACAGACTAGTTATAGACGAGGTACAAACCCCAACACAAAATTAAATTAAACTTGTTTTACTGTATTGATCAGCTTGTGGGCTTCACTCACCTTAATTTGTTAATCCAGGACTCGTCAAATGTAACACAACGAAGACACACAACACACACATACACGCACATAAAAATCGTCCTTGGATTTACTCCAAGGATTTATGTGCGTGTATGTGTGTGTTGTGTGTCTTCGTTGTGCTACATTTGACAAGTCCTGGATTAACAAATTGAGGTGAGTGAAGCCCACAAGCTGATCAATACAGTATAATAAACCTCGCCTAAAAACATGTCTTTCAAAAATAAACTTTTTTTATCAGTTTTTGTTAAAAGATTTATATCTTGGGTTGTTAATATGTTAACAAGTTCATTCTGGTATCAAAGTACTCAGTAAATGTTTGGCTTTAATTTTATTAATTATTAAATGACACATGACAAATTTAAAACGAATCATGTAGGCCTACCTTCAATGAACTATTGAATGAATTATTGTTATTTTTAAATTTGTCTTTAGTTAAAGACATTTATCACCAATTCTAAATAACTCCCAATAAGGAATCCATAGCTAAAATAAAAGCCAATACTTGAACGAACAGCTATGAAGAGTTTTTCCCGTTTTCACTCTGCACAACACTACAAAATAAAACCATAAAACGTTTTGTTGAAATTTTTTAAAGGCCATATCCTATATTTATCTAAATATAATTTCCAAGTTACACAGTTACAGTTATTTATAAGTACAGTTATTTATAAGTAAGTTAGTCATATGTACCATCAGTCAAACACCACTCCCAATCTGTTGGATCTGCTGGTGAACTATTTCCACGCCATACTTGAACCTGATAGTACAACCTTAGACTGTGGTAGTTTTCAATGTGTATTTAAATTGTCAAAGTACGAAACGTCCATAAGAAATGTATGGGGAGAGTTTTCGTTTTTATATATATCTAAAAACCGTAAAACGCTATTTAAAAAACTGATTTCAGCATTGAAATCAGCATGGAAATCTAGTTCATAATGATGTGTCACAACACTATAATTACATAAACAAATATTTATATCCAATATGGCAGATCCAATCTGGCTGATCCAAGATGGCGGCCCAAAAAGCGTCCTCTGTTGAAATTAAGTACGGACTATCCAATAAATATCGATCGTGGTTCCAAGTCAATATCTCGAAAAATGTGCAAAAAAACATGTGGTATCTTTTGTTGCAAAATTTGTCCAACATTGGGAAAAGCCGCCATTTTTTCCTTAATTTAGGGGTTTTCCGTGGACTAATTTTTTGCAATTTTGGTATGTCACTCTGCACACCACAACAATAAAAATAAAACCATAACATGTTTACTTGCAAATTTTTATACGATCCCTGTGTCTGGTTTTTTTTTAGTTTGCTTGGACTATTACATTATTTTATAAAAAATATTTTTATTTTAAATATTTTATTATTTCTACGGGGTTTATTTTTTCTTGTAGGTACATGTATTTGGTATCATTTTAAAGGAAATTTCAGGAGGAACATTAAATGTATTGACGACTTTTCACCAATATTGACTGGAAAGTCAGAATTTCAATAAAAAGCAAAAAACTACTGGATTTGGCCGCCATTTTGGACAAATGGTGGTGTTCCACCAAAGATATTTTTGGAGACTTTTGATATGTTATTCACAATACTTTTCACTATCGAACAACAATGGTTTCATCTGTGTTCTAATTATTTCTAGGTTTTGCTAATTATTTTCTTATTTTAAGGCGCCTACTACACATACACACAAATATAAAAGTAACATAGGAATAAAATATACAACTAGTAAAAATATGGTTATCAACAGTGTGTATGTTTTATCGAGCTAGAATGTACTGTAACGCTCCAGATTGCCACTCCCCTTAAATAAATCAGTACCGGTAGTCTTTTTTTCGCTTTAAGTTTCAATGTTTTCAATGTGCTTTTCCTATTTCCATTTTTTTCCATAAAACAACAGATCTATAGAAAAATGAATCGAGCAGCATAAAGACGATGAAGACTCCTCCAATACAACTACAGCAGTCGTTGAGAAAGTGACTCCAGGGGCTGAAACAAAACAGTTCAAAAGTCAACAAAAGTTGGTTAAAATTTGGTTGGCCATTTGTTATAGGTTGTATGACAAATTAAATTTATATAATATGCCACACGTTTGATATTTGAATGAATAAAACAACAGTAGAACTTGATAACCAATATAAATATCACGAAATACATTAAAATTTCTAATCATAGCCTAAATGACGATAAAAGAAAATAATTTTTAAAGTAATTGGGACACACTTTTATAAGTTATGTTTTAAATTATATGTAACATGAAGCTAATAGCTAGCAAAGCTAACGTCTCTCATTCATGCAACACTCATCTTCGTCATAAACCTCTAGAAATAGTTTGAGCACTATCATAAAGTAAAGTATGTTTTATCTGTTGTTAAGCTATGACTTTTAAATCTGGTAAGTAGTGGATACCACCATTTTGGTTTTGATTAATTTTAAATCTTGTGTAGGCTGATATGAGAAAAACTGACCAAATCTTCGAATAAAACTTTCACATACATGATTTACCTTCATCTCCTTTAATTACGTATATTTTTTCTTTTTGACATTTTAAATTTCAATTTTTAAGTTGCAAAAATACTAATTATTAAATTCAAATGAACATTTTTTAAATTTCACTCTTCTTGGTATTAAATCACAAATCCTTCCATCTTCAGTTTCTTCACTCACAACAAATCATTTAGGAAAACTAAGTCAGCTGTTATTAACTTTAGAAATATTGTTGTGCCTTATCAATATTAAATCAATATCAATATGAAATATTAAAGAAACTATATCAGCTATACTATATAAATTTTTAAACAAATAATTTAGAACTAAAGACAGCTAATTTTATTGTTAGTTCTGTCCGGTTTTCTGTAGATGTCCTGTTTTGTTTACAATTTGTTTCTATTATTTTAGGGTTAGTTTCTCATTATTTGTGTCTCACCGTTTGGTTATACAGTATAGCTAGTGGACGAGTTATTATTTATGATTAGATCATTTTATTTGGCTAAACGAGGTTTTAAATTACTGAAATAACAGGAAACAAGTTCTATTTCTAAACGACATGGTATTTTAGGTGAGGTCATACTTCAGTATGATAAATATTTTTGGGCAACACTCGCCTTATTGAAATTAGGAGAACATAGTCCTTGTCATATCACAGTTTGTTGCACATACACATAGATATAAAATACAAAAATCAAAATCTATATATTAATACGCAAGCAGTTTTCTTTTCACAGTCATAACTCGATAACGGCTTGATGGATTTTAACGTTTGAGGTGTCAAATTAAAGGTATTTTCGCGTAGATGTGCAAATACGTCTCAGAATATTTAGAAAGGGCACCAGTGAGACTTAAGTACACCTAAGGGCTAAAGTTTGGAAGGCGGCGCTATCTGTTGACATTTGATCAAACTCATTTCCCTTTGTTTACAAATAACATATGGACGTAGTTTGAAATAGTTTTTAAGGTTGACCACAGACTGCAGGACTTAAAATAACTTCCAGAGCAAAGCTGGAATTTATATTTTGTTTCAATCTGTTAACTAAGTCTGGTTCATAATGAAGAGTTTAAGAATAAATTTGATTATGTAGGGACGAGAGCTCCAAAGGGGTCAAGTGAGATTCTTATGTAGACAGAAGAAGTGTCTTCCCTCACTACAATGGTGCTACCTGTGTAGATAACGCAGCAATTTTGAAAGCTGAAAAAAGCACCCCCTGGCCAAATGAATCGTATAGTTTTGTCCAACACTAACAATGTTAAACGCGTATCCATTCTAGATCTGTCGTTAGATCCACTTGCTTACCCTCTTATTATTCCCAACCGGAGACTTGGGTTGGGGTCCCTAATTTAAACACGCCTGCGTCAAGAGAGGAATTGAGCTACGTTACGTTTGGTCAAAAGCTCACTTTACAGTGTGTGTGTGTGTGTGGTTGACATCTACGTGCTCATAGAGTGCACACGCCTACTATACATAAGAGATAATCAAAGCAGTATTTGAGTGAATGTAAATTTAAATATTGTAGATTTCTTTTATATTTTTTACATCATAATATTTTTATATTTCTATAATCAGTCATATAAATTATTTTAGAGTGACGCTTTGATTAAGGTATTGCTGTTTGTTTTTTTATACAAGTTTCAGTTTTGCTCGATTTTGAGCAACGTGTTATCTAGTAAAACTAAATATAAAATCACAGACTCAAGCTCTCAACTCCGACGTTTCGCAGCACCAATATCAACGTGCAGCGTTTTCAAGGTTATTTTCTCACGTAAACGTTGTGAGCGCCTAACGACGACTGTTGGTGGAGGAGGGGGAGGGGAATATCTGTTATCTCGATCAGCTGATGGCATTATCTTCTTTTGTTTTGATTTCTCAATGCATCCTTTAATATCTTTTTCTATTAGCGTATTGTAAACAGGGCTGATGTCAATGGATGCGTTGGCTAACGAATTTGGATGCGTTGGCTAACGAATTTTTATCCGAAGAAATAAACAAAGCCTCAATAATGTTCATTTTCTTCCAATTAGGCTCCTTGTATAATACACAGCTTTCTTCCCACTTAATACAATGCCCGGTGTCATGAACGTGTTAAGATATTTTTGAGTTGTAGGTTATACGTGTATCAACTTTTTTCATATGTTCATGAACCGGTCAAGAGCCAGTCTTGATGTTTGACCTACATAGCTACGGTTACACGAGCACGGGACCTTGTACACTTTGTTTTTATTGTCGTTACCACAGTTAGGAGGTTTCACTTTAGTTTAGATACAGGTCTTTTTATCGTGTTTTTTGAGGAAAGTCTGTCCTGATACCTTGCTTAGCATTCACGCGCCGTATTTTCTCCGAAAGGTTTTTGATATACGGAATGCATACTGTGGCCAAAGGTTTGTTATCTTTAGGTGGTAAACTTATATCAGAGCTGGATATTTTCCTTAAGGCTTTATTTATGAACCTTTTTTTACGCCCAAAAGTCTGGCATGGCAATGGGAGGTGTACTAAGTCCTATTGTAAATAACATCTACTGTACATGGATTACTTTGAATAAAAAGCCATTATAACAGCTGAGGTTAAGCGTAAGTTATGGTTAGGTTACGTGGACGATGTGTTTTGCTTGTGGGAAAGTGTCATTTCAGAGCTTAGGTTCAAGGACCATATAAACAGCATTTGTGATACTGTACCATTAAATTTACAATTGAATTTGTTCAATTGTAGTTTTCACCTCAGAACTTTTAAAGCCAAAGGGGCAAAGCCCACGGTCAGTATCAAAGTGTGAATAGTCCTATGATAGTCCTTGGTATGGTAGATATATTTATGTAAAATTTAACAGGTACACTAGTAGTATATAAGTATACTAGCTGTACCCGCGGGTTTAACTTCATAAGTATTCGCATGGCTCAATCAAGTCCTTATTGAAGTTCGTTCGCTACGCTCACGACACCTTTTGGTTGCAAATTAGCTGTTGTCATAAATTAAAAAAATAATAGTGCTGCACCCTGTTGGTAATCCTTGTAACTTTAATGCTATTGAACATCATAGAATAGAACCAACTTGTTTAATTGAAACAGCTGTTAAGATTCATTAATTCTTTTTAAATATGAAAAATAATAGGTTAACATGGGAAACTCCAGAGCCACTGGGGCGGAGCCCGAGAGTCCGATCAGAATAAAAACGACATAGTTTTCCTATTTAATGTCTAAAGAATCAGTGTACCAAATTTCAGCCTCCTAGGTAAATGGGAAGTGGGAGAATTGGTGATGAGTGAGTGAGTGAGTCAGTGAGGGCTTTGCCTTTTATAAGTATAGATAATAAAAATAATTATTATAATTCACTTTTAATTAACTTTTATATAGTAAGTATTAACATGTTAACAGCATTGACTACAAAAGTGTCTTTTGGCTATTTTGAGGCTGTTAAAAACTTAACATATCTTAAAAAGTTCAAGCTCATTTCAGACATGTTTGAAAATGTCAGCTTGTTTTATTTGAGTAATATTCTTACCTTTATTTAACATTTTTGGTATGATTAAATGTGTATGTTTCTTTTGTATTGACTTGAATAGTTTTTAAAAACAGTATTGTTACTGAAAACCGCTTTAAAAAGACGTTTTTTTTTTATTATTATAGTGCTCAAACTATTTTAAGAGGTTTAAGATGAAGATGACTGTTGCATGAATGAATGGTTCATTGCCATTATAAAGTAGTTAGGTACTCACATAACTTTGTCAGATATTTTCACCATGAGGGCTGAAAGTTCGTAGCTAAAAAATATTCCAGGCATTCCTGAATCACCACTGCCTGGAGACACGACCTGCATAAAAGGTAAAGTAGTAGAGCTATAATATGAGATTACAAATCAATTCATTTGACTTAACTTATTTTATATAACTGTTACAACACACACAGATGGAATACGTTAATTTTTAAATGTAAATGAGTAAATTTATGTGGGCAATACACATAGCGAAGAGTTATTCATTTATTACAAAATCTGAGGATCAGTGTTGCCAATCCACTATGGCCCGATTACCCCCTCCAAAGCAAAGAATTACCCGCTTTTTCTAAAAATTACCCTCAACAAACCAAAAATTCCCTTTTAACACTCTTGCCTGTCTCTAAAAGTAACGAATAAAAACCCTGATAAATTAGTTTTGAGTAATCCCACAAATTAAGCTGTAGTAAAGAACTAAATATAGGACTTGAGACTTGTAATTAACCTTCATAATGAAATTTTCAATCTTACTGACCTTACAAAAATAATTTCATTAGCCCTACAATGATTTGTTTTTTTTATGATAGCCTATGTCATATACTTGTTTAATAATGAGTAAGTACTGTTAAAAATTTTATTTTTTATTAGTTTTAGGGGGAAAATAGTTATTATAACCGATCAACAGTATTATTCCCCTGTTTTATGTTATTCATCTTCTTTAGAAGTAGACTAGTATGGTATTTTCCTTCCACCATGGTATCAGCGTCTGTAGTATAGTGAGAAGTGAAGTGAGAGTGAGATCAGGATCACGGATCAGGCATTTAAGGCCAGGCAACCAAAAGTTTTTCCACTCCAATCCAAAAGAAAAGACTACAAACAACCGTACTGACTGAAACTGAACGAACCGAACCGAACCGACTGAACGCTGTAGCCTACTCGCATTGACTTTATATCTACACTACTAGTGACTGAAACTGAACCAAACTGATGAAGATTAAGAGAAGTAGTGTAAAACAATAAAAAGTCTGTGAAATAACTTTAATGGAAAAAAACACAGGGAAATATTTTTCTTCTAGTGAAATATAAGTAATAATACGAAAAACAAATAATATTTGATCAGTTGTCATTTACCCGCCTATTTGCCATTACCCGCAGCATTACCCCCAGGTAACTAAATTACCCGCTTTTCGGGTAATTCCCCGCTTTTTGGCAACACTGCTGAGGATATAAAAAGGTTTGAGAAGGAGAGCAGGCTTCTCTTTGAACATAATTACACTAAACTCACGATGCACTTAACTCTATGTACACAGACCGATGGATAAATGAGGCAAAATGTATTTATTAACTGAAATATTTGAGATTATCTGCCAAGATAAGTCTTCTTTCCTGTTTTCCACTCAAAATTAATGTTTCAAAGTTTAAAACGAATCTGGGCCTGGAGTTTTTTAAAGACACCTGGATGAGCTAATGCGTAATAGGCCTCGGGCACGATACAAGCGTTGAGGGTGGTCACGATACAAGCGGCTGTATGAGCGGCTTGTACTTTTTGCTTGAAAAACTGTCCCTAAAAATACCTAATTTTGATAGAAATAATTTTATTTATTTACCCTAACATGTCAAACACTGTTGCAACTTCGTGCACCTTGTCAACGAGTGTTCTTGAAGCCGTTGTCTTTATCATTCCACAATGATTAATGACACTGAACTTCACGTATCAAACTTTCAATTTGAGTACCACTGAACTTTTTCAAAGCAATGATGACTTCTTTCTTTAGTTTAACTGGAGGCTCAAGTGTGGCTCTTTCTCCTCTGACATCTTGAACTAGACTGAAAAACTGTGAAGCATGGCTCATCTGAGCGTCGTACAAAAAGTAATCGGGCAGGGTTTAAGAGTCCTTGGAGCCTAGACGTTCTATCTAACTCGTAATAGTCTGGGCTTCAGCTAGTGGAACCTGGACATTTGGGTAGACAAAGGTTTTTTGACTGATTCTGACTCAGTTTTTTGCACTGATTACGAATATGTCGGGTGTCACTTTGGCATCCTTGGGCAAACTCCGCCAAATTGGAAAAATGGCGGCCAAAACTGGTTTTTCTATAAATACTTGAAAACCGTTGGTTTTAGAGATCTTTGTGTCTTGTCATGAAATAAAGAGCGTCACATTTTACACAAAAACGATATTTTCAGTTATTTTTGTTAGCCTCCTGGTTTTAGCATGATTTTATAAATTTAAGTTATTTATTAATAACTAAAAAGACATTTTAATGCCAATGACGTATTACACAGATTATTTAGTAAACATAGTTACAATTCAATGCAATTGTTAGTGCCTTCCAACACCTCTCAGCCCCTCCCCCTTCAGCTCCAAAACAGACCATCCCCTGAAAGGCTCAGCATCTTTGCAACTATCATGCTGAACATTTGCTAAATAAAGTATAAATTTGGTAATATGATTTTGTGTTTATCCTAATATTTCCTATCTGATACACACACAACTACCAACGCTCCTTTTCCTCGTTGCATTAATGCTATTTCTGTCTGCGTGAGTCACTGGCGGGCGCGGCGGTACGGTCAGTCTTCTGCTCAGGGTCACGTTGGAGTCTCTTCCCTCTCTCAAACGTAGCAATATAGAATGCAGGGATGCCAAATTAAACTATCAATTACATGTAACTTGCAGAGACCCAGTACCACTTCTAATACACATAGCATTCTCAAAAGAGACTGCAGAATCAGTCAAAAAAACCTTTGTCCATCCAAATTTCTAGGTCATCGTAAATTATATTGGGTCGCCGCCCAGACTATAAAACAGTCATAGAACTACGAAGAAAATGTCTAATCTCACAGTATACTAGATATTGAAATTACAACCACTCTGGTGTTTGAACAAATATTTTGAGATGGTAAATAACTCTTCAGCGGCTAGTTTGAAATAAACGAAATTAACATTGCTCTTATGGCGGGCAAATCCAAGATGATCGTTAGCTTCCATGGACTCCATTGGAGAACAATTCAAAACCACAAAGAACATTTCTAATCTCACAGTACTACATATTTAAATTATAACCACGTTGATATTTGAAAAAAAAATTGACGATAATAACTCTTTAGCAGCTGATTAAAATTATATAAGACGGCCACTAGCGTCCAAGGACTCTTTAACGGTGCCATCGATGCTCAGGTCGATCGTGTCACCCCTCTTCAAATATCCACGGTAACATTAACATATAGGGCCTAATTGCAGAGCGGTGCCGCTTTGACGCTCCGGCTCCTATCGTGTCCAGGCAATGGGTTATTCTTTTGTGTGTTAACTTCATTGGGCTAGAAATACAACTACAAGTAGCACTGAACTGAATGAGAAAATTTTGAGCAATTGGCTGACATTTGTACCAAAGGTAAAGCACATTTACATTGTACAGTACTGTAAATGATTGTAACAAACCCATGAGCAAATGAATTGGTTGATTTCCTTTGTTGGCAACAACATGGAAAATTTTACATCGTCTTTATTTTCTAGCAGAGTTTCAATGCCAGTAATCTACCTCCAGTTTTATTCCTAGCTCAGTGATAGGCTTTCATTTTTAATTTCACTTTTTGGTTACCTTAGAATGTTTTGTCACAGAAAATTGATTGGAATACAAAACCATGCCATCTTTATGAAACCTTTTCGTCGGGACAATCTTGATGTAGTACTGGTACATGACAGCACCTAAAAAAACATAGTTAAATTAATATCTTTATCGTTAAACTTGTAAACAAGTTCATAATCATTTTATTTATTTGGAAACATTTTTTATAGCCTACTAAATTACATTTCAAAAATATACAGGTCTTACAGTAGTAGGCCTAATCACAAATACCGTTAGCCACTTTGGGTTGACTTTATTAAACGGTGAGCACTTTTTCACCTCAAATTAGTTGACGAATATCGAAACTGGAAAATCGAGACTTTTACCGCTAGATTGTTTTAGAGTAATCGAATCGGAATCGGAGTAAATTTTATTGGTTTGACTGAGACTGACTTAAAGCACGATTACTAGAAAAATACCGGAATGGATCATAAACATTAAAAATGACGTTTTTGGCCCGAAAATAAACATGATTTATCATTGCTTAAATGGAACTAAAAGAGACCCCTTGAGCTGAATAAATTGATACTAAATAAGTTACTGTTACAGTGTTACATTCAATTTAATACTCTCTTGAGTACTATAATCATATCGACCTCCAGAAAAAAATAAGATTAATGAAGGAATAGGAATAAAATTTCTAAGAACTGTGAGCAAGGTCATAATTTTGTAATTTTTAATTCATCATTAAGCTTTAAAATTATTAGTCTTAAGCAAGGAAAAGAGTAAATTACACTCCCTCTCAGGAACGAGGCATTTTGGCATTTTTACAAGAGCTGGGTTGATACTAACAATAATAATACAAATTAGATAATAGAAATGGCCTCCATCTGATGATATTCAGTTTTGATTAAAACAAATTCTGGTCCCGTGATTAACATAACCTTAGCAATAATCTTTTCAACTGTTGACATTGAATTTTATTCCTATCTTATATTATATTTTATACTATCTACTGATAAATAGAAACAGAAGAAGAATTTGTTCGTAAGGTATTAACAAATTTATGTATTCTCTTAAAAAATTGACATTACGTCCCTAGGCGCTACAATTATATGTTCTCTCCTAATGATCTACCATTATTAAATTCAAACTGTCAAGTCACAAGTCAAGTCAAAGGAGAACGGGAATGGATGGAGTGGGAGTGGACTATCGATATCGCGATGTACTAAATTCTAAAAACAATCGAGCTGTAAAAGTATCGATTTTCCAGTTTCGATATTCGTCAACTAATTTGAGGTGAAAAAGTGCTCACCTTATTAAACTGTAAAATTAAATACAGTACCACAATACCAGACCCAGCAACTTAAAATGAAGCTCGTCGTTAAAGCATTAGCTTTGAATTGTACGATGGAGCAACCAATGGGCTTAGTAAACATTGATTTATGTAATTTTGGTAGTATCATAGATTAAACATACTCCCATACGATACCTTTGTGTTGGTGAGTCTAAGGGAGTATGTTTTATCTATGATAGTACGTTTATGGTTTTATATATGTTTTGATCGTGGCCACCATTAACTCCAGGCCGCGGCCTGGTAGAATTGGCAACGTTGCAGGTGGTGTCTAGCGTCAGATGTCCCATAAGATAGGTAACATGGCAGACGGGTGACGCTAATCAATTCGCGTATTATTCATTTAAATTTATGAACATAAATGTTTAAAAGATTGGAAATAAAACAGAAATGAAAACCAGAACAATATTTAAATTGAAAATCTATTTTTGTATATTTAAAGTGGAGTAAATATTTTCATAGCCCAGTAGCCAAGCTTTTGTAAATAAACAAATAACATTAGCTGCTTCCAAACAAAACAGCTGTTACAACCCTACTTGCGACGTTGGCCACGGCCACCTTTAACTACAGGCCGTGGCCTGGTAGAATTGGCAACGTCACAAGTGGTGTTGTTTATTAACAGACGTCACATAAGATAACATAACAGACAGGTGACATCAGGTCATCAATTCGCACTTTATTGATTTAAATTTAAATTTTATGAACATCAATTTATTAAAATATTGAAAATAAAACATACAGAATTGAAAACCAAAACAATACAAATTAAAAATCTATATCTGTCCATTTTAAGCGGAGTCAATATTGTCATAGTCCAATAACCAATCTTTCGTAAATAAATAGTTATGTGTGCAACTAGTGAGCAACTTGCAGTGAGCACTTTGCCATCGAGTTGCACATTATAATTTTCCTACAGTTACCATAAAACAAATAAATTGGTAAAGAAACGTGCCTTCCCGTTGCAAATCTGGAGTGACCTGGATGTTTGTTAACATTGTCTCACTGATGAACTAATTGGCCAATTTCGTGCCTTCACGTTGCAAATCTGGAGTGAGACAATGTTAACATTGTCTCATTGATGAGCGAATTGGCCACTTTGCTTTCTCAATGAGAGAACATGTACATTATTAGCTAACTGTAGGGAAAAATACTATTAGCTGCTTCCAAACAAAACAGCTGTTACAACACCACTTGTGACGTTGCCACTTCGTTAGCACTTCGAAGGCCGCGGCCTGGAGCACGGCCACCTTTAACTCCAGGCCGCGGCCTTCGAAGTGGAAACATCGCAAATAGGGTTGTAACAACGGTTTTATTATTTTAGAGGCGGCTGATGGTAGTTTGTGTATTTTTTTAGGAATACGAAAGCTTATTTACTGGGCTATGAAAATATTGACTTTAATTTAATGTACAAAAATAGATTTTCAATTTAAACATTATTTTGGTTTTAAATTCTATATATTTTATTTTCAATTTTGTAGTAAATTTATGTTCATAAATTTAAATGAATAATACTCGAATTAATGAGCTGGTGTCACCTGTCTGCCATGTTATCTTATGGGACGTTTAGCGCTAGACAACACCACTTGCAACGTTGCCGGAGTTAAAGGTGACCGTGCCTGGAGTTAAAGGTAGCCGTGGTTTTGATCAAGTACAAGTACTACCATGGTGGAAGGAAGTACTCCTACACTCACGATCACCTTTGACTCGGCGGCCGTGACTGGTGACTATACTCCTACACTACAGGGAATTATTTTCATTTTCACAGGTTTGAGCTCAGTCTTTGCTTTTATATATATATAAGGCAAAGCCCTCACTGACTCACTCATCACTAATTCTCCCACTTCCCATTTACCTAGGAGGCTGAAATTTAGTACACTGATTCTTTAGGCATTAAATAGGAAAACTAAGTTGTTTTTATTTTGATTGAACTCTCGGGCTCCGCCCCAGTGGCTCTGGAGTTTCCCATGTTAACTTTATGAGTACTCATATTTAAATGGAATTAATGAATCTTAACAGCTGTTTCAATTAAACAAGTTGGTTCTGTTCTATGATGTCCAATAGCATTAAAGTTACAAGGATTACCAACAGGGTGCAGCTTATTTTATTTTTTTAAATTTATGACAACAGCTAATTTGCAACCAAAAGGTGAGTGAGCGTAGCGAACGAACTTCAACCTGGAGGCGAGTTAGCGTAGCGAACGAGCTAACCTGAAGGCAAGTGAGCGCAGCGAACGAGCTCCAACATCAAGGTGAGTGAGCGTAGCGAACCAACTTCAACCAGGACGTGATTGAGCCATGCGAACAAGCTCACTTATGAAGTTAAACGGGGCGAAGCCCGAGGGTACAGCTAGTACTGTATAATTTTGTTGTGCTGTTTTCTTTTTTATAGTCGTCTGTCTTGTCTTGATTTTTGTTTATTTTATGTCATATGGATCTGGCAATGGCTGGCTGCCTGAGCCTGGCTGGTGCTATTGTACTCGACGTTCTGTACCCACGAGTAACTCAGCTTCCACAAGCACAGAAGGCCCTGAAACAGTTCCTGGGATAACAGCTATTTGTGTAATAGCTTCACTGTATATCTTTATTTGACCTGTTTAAATAGTTGTTTCAACAGTTGCAGTTGCGAACATCGATGTATATCTCTTGCGAATGCGAACTGTGCATTCTGATTTTAAGGTGTTTATTCTTTACTGTTTGTTTATTTTTGACTTGAGCTGCTTGATAAGGTGTTTTATGATTATGAAGTTTTAAATGTTCACTTAACCTATCTTTTTTGGATTCCTCAAGAAAGAGTGAGTGTTAATGTTAGGTTGAGTTGCGTTTGTGTGTGCATTTGTTAGATTGGAGTTTTGGTAGTGGTAACTTAGGTCTAGGTTTATTTTGATTAAGTTAGTTGGGCCTTTCAGTGGAATTTAGGTCTAAGTTATTGCCTTTGAAAAAGTTAAATTAATAACTTATCTATTTATAAGAGTATGCCTAAGTTTACCTTAGAGGCTACAGACCTACCACTACCAAAACTGCAATCTAACAAATTCACACACAAACACCTAACCTAACCTAACCTAACAATCACTCTCTCTTGAGGAATCCGAAAAATATAGGTTTAAGTAAACTTCATAAATACTTTAAACTTTTAAAACTTCATAAATAATTCATGCACGCAAAACATTTAGGCTAATTGTCAATACCTAATAACAAATCAGCTTCAGCCCACTCACAAAACATTTTTTTTTTTCAATCATAAAACACCTTTTCAAGCAGCTCAAGTCAAAAGTAAACAAACAGTAAAGAATAAACACCTTTACAAAATCACAATGCACAGTTCGCAACTGTAACTGTTGAAAAAAACAACTATCTAAACAGGTCCAATAAAGATATACAGCGAAGCTATTACACAAATAGCTGTTATCCCAGGAACTGTTCGAAGGCCTTCTGTGGCCTGTGCTTACTTGTGGAAGCTAAGGTGCTCGTGGGTACAGAACGTCGAGTGTGCTACTGTTGATTACGTTACGTCATTTTCATTGTTAAACAGCAAAACAGCACGCAATCGAAAAATCAATTTTGCCCTTTGAGGTTATGCATTTTTGTTTTAGGTAAGTAACAAAGATCGCATATCGAATTTTATGTTTTCTTATTTGTTTTAACAATCTATGTTTTCCGTAAATTAACCTAATCAGTGATAACATTGAGAGCTAATTAATTGGTGATAGTGTTAAACATGAACTACCCAAACAAACATTTGAAAGCTTCCGGGTAAGTTATTTTAGAAAACTATGGACGAGCATTTAAAGCACCCCAATTAGAAAAATAAAGCTAACATTCAGTTAAGTGGACCTAGGCCTACAAATCATTTAAAATTTCTTAATAAATATTGTCAAGCATTCATATATTCACCTTCACACCATAGGCCCTAAAGTTAACTAAGTTAGGCTAATTATCTGCCAGTAGGCCTATATCATTGACTATATAACACTACGTAGTGTTATATAGTCAATGCCTATATGTATCTACAGATTTTAGCCTAATTGTTATGCTCAGCAAACGTTAAGACAGTCATTATTATCAGCTAAAATACGGTACCAATCTGGGGTACAGTTTCTTAACTGGGCTATGCTAGTATGGATTGAAACTATTGATTTGAAAATATTGATTAATAATCAATATTTTTTAATCTTATCTATTATATACCCTAATGAAACTGTCATAACCTAAACTAATTAACCAAACTTGCTGATAATGAAAAAATCACTAGAAGGTATACTAATCGAATCGATAGTTTAAATCGATAAGTACATTACTAAGTTAGCATAGCCCAGTTAAGAGACTGTACCCCCAATCTGTTGCCTAGGTAGTCTGTAGGATAACCTAAGTTTTAGGCTTGGCTAAGTTACTTTGGACTTAACAGTAAGTTACAGTTGGTCAACTTAATGTAATTATTATGTAATTACTATCCTGATAAGTATAATTAGACCAATTCGTATACCAAAGGCAAAAATGTGGTTACTCTACTATAAACTGTAAGTAGGTCCCTTAGTCGCCATTAGCTGTATGGGCTATTAATTAACAGCTGTGTCTAAGGAATATGTCGACCTTAGTCACTAACTCCTAAGATCACGCCACTCATCCTACACTCATCTCCATTCATACTTGGCTTAAAATACCTACTTTGTATGGTCGCCATTTTAAAGAATAGTTTTAAAGTGTTTATTTAAGTTAAAAAGTAAATCTATAAGTTGACTGGTTCTGCCTAGAGAGTTTAAATTTTTAATAGGACCTTGGCCTAATGGAGATCACTTAACCCATGCACAAAAATAAACTTAAGCCTAATTATTTTAAAATAAATTTCAAAAAATAATTGTTTTGTCACCCAGCTGCTTGATTATAATGTTAAAGTAGGAGTAAATTTGAATTTGTATTTACTTTGTCAGTTAAGAGATTAGGAACTTAAGTTAGGGCTAGTTAAAAATTCGGCATAGCCCCTAAGTTACATTTTGATAACCTATTTGACTCTATTTTATTATCAAACATAAAAGTATTGATTCAATCGATAACCAAACAGCCTAGCCAAAAACCGAACGGTAACTAAATCGGTAACAATTCATTTAGTTGTTGTTGAATAGCATACATTTTAGCGAATTTCCCATATAGGGAATAAGCTATTACCGTAGTACCTACTCATGGTAAGACCTGGACGCGGGACCAATTTTTTTTTTCGTTTTGAGGTCCCTAGAGGCCAAAAACACCATCCGTTCAAATTCATATATATATACAGTCGAGTCCCGCAAACTCGGCACTCGATAACCCGGCAGTCTGGATAACTCGGCCATCGCCTGGCTCAGAAAATTAGTGATTTTTGAGTCCTAGTTAAACATGGACTCAAGCCAGCTCAAGTCAAATCATTCGCAGCTCGTACCAAGGATATGTTGTACTATATCTGATGACTTAATACTAACTTGTAATATAAATATAAATAAAAGAGGCAGTTAAAATGTTATTGTTATTACTTTTTAATCCTAGTTCCCGATAACCCGGCATTTCACAAACTCGGCACCCTTCCAGTCCACATTACGCCGAGTTTGCGGGACTCTACTGTATATATATATATAACCTATGTGTCCGTCAGCACGATAACTCGAGCAAAAATGATCCGATTTTGATGAAATTTGGTACAAACGACAACGTGTAAACCTACGTTTATTCAAACGAGTTCACGATCCAGCATGATCGGACCATGGGAACGGGGGTTTACTGGTGGTTTTATGGGGTAAAAATAGGGTTTTCCCATTTTTGACCCAAAAAACATAAAATTTAGCAATTTCTTTCAAACCCATTTTGTAGAGCTTAAAAAAACTAATAATTTAGTATATTGAAGCGTTATTATGCGCCTAATGGTTACGGAGAAAATTCCAAATAATTGTTAATTTAAAATTCCCATGTTATTCTTATGGAGAATAAGTAAACTGTTGTAGTTTGCTTGTTTATGAACATATTTTGATCAAATTTGGAAAATGTTTTTATTTCTTACTAGCTATTAACATTTTACAAAAAAAAAAAAAAACTGTTTTATCCTCCCTGATGCAGCAAACCTAAGTACTTGTTAAACTAATTCTATTTAAATCGGGAATAAATGTTAGGCTATATTTTTAAGTAGACATTTCAGTGTAGATCCAATCAGTCAAATGGAAATTCGCTTAGTCTGCAGGTTTGCTGCGGCGGTGGTATTTTTTATTTCCTCATTGTTAAGGCCTACCTTTATTGTTAGAAGAAATTCTGAAAATAATATGCCCCCGCCACAGCAAACCTGCAGACTAAGCGAATTTCCATTTGCCTGATTGGATTTACACTAAAATGTCTACTTAAAAATATAACATTTATTTCCTATTTAAATAGAATTAGTTTAACAAGTACTTAGGTTTGCTGCATCAGGGAGGGTAAAACTGTTTTTTTTTTTTGTAAAATGTTAATAGTTAGTAACAAATAAAAATATTTTCCACATTTTATCAAAATATGTTCATAACAAGCAAACTACAACAGTTTTTGTTCTCCATAAGAATAACATGGCAATTTTAAATTTACATTAGGTGCATAATAACGCTTCAATATACTAAATTATTTGTTTTTTTAAGAACTACAAAATGGTTTGGAAAGAAATTGTAAAATTTTATGTTTTTGGGTAAAAAATGGGAAAAACCTATTTTTACCCCATAAAACCCCCCGTAAACCCCCGTTCCCATAGTCCGATCATGCTGGTTCGCGAACTCGTTCGAATAAATGTAGGTTTACACGTTTATACCAAATTTCATCAAAATCGGATCATTTTTGCTCGAGTTATCGTGCTATCGGACACATATATATATATATATGAATTTGAACGATATATACCAATGATATATACTGATGATTGATATATATATATATGAATTTGTTCACCATATACTAAATTAAAAATTGATCAGGCCATTTTCAAGAAAATCCGATTTTTCTGTTATTTTACGAGTTTTTATGTGAAAGTCACCATTTAAAAAATACCCTCCTCGCAGCAAACCTGCAGACTAAGCGAATTTCCATTTATCTGGCTGGATTTCTACTAAAATATTCCCTGAAAATTGTCAGATTTATTTCCTTTTTAAATAACATTAATTTTAATGTGTACCTAGGTTTGCTGCTACAGGGAAGGTATGGAGGGGTGTTTTTATTGAAATGTTGATAGCTTAGTATGAAATAAACAAAATTGTCAAATATGATCAAATATCCAAACAAACAAACTACAACAGTTGATTTATTCTCCATAAAAATAACATGTGAATTTTATTTTTTTTTTAGTTTTTTTAATCATCACTTGTAACTGTTGGGCATACAACAACACTTCAATATATAACATTATTTCTTTTTTTAAGTACTGCAAAATGGTCTGGAAAGAAATTGTGAAATTTTATGTTTTTAGAGTCAAAAATGGGAAAAACTTATTTTTACCCCATAAAACCCTCTTCCCATAGTCCGATCATGCTGGTTCGCGAACCCGTTCGAAAAAAAATTATAGGTTTACACGTTTTGTACCAAATTTCATCAAAATGTTGTACATTTAGGAAGTGTATTAAAACATAATATAACATCGACTTCAAATAGTTCCAGTAGACTTATCAGCTTAAAAGTTAAAATTTTACACTCGACTAACTTTTAGCGAATTTCCCACATAGGGAATAAGCTAGCCTATTACCGTAGTACTCATGGTAAGACCTGGACCCGGGACAGATTTACTTTTTCGTTTTGAGGTCCCTAGAGGCCGTTCAAATGCATATATATACTTGTATCTATATTTTAATCTATATACTTGTTACGGAGAAAATTTAAAAAAATGGAAAAAATGGATGGAAATGGAAAATGGAAAAATGGATGAAAAATGGAATAGTTTGCTTGTTTACATGAACATATTTTGATCAAATATATAAAATACATTCATTTCTTACTAAACTATTAACATTTTACAACAACAACACTTTTTTACCCTCCCTGTTGCAGCAAACCTTACTACTCGTTAAACCAATTTGATTTAAATAGGGAATAAATTTGATATGTTTAAGGAGAAATTTTAGTGTGGATCCAATCAGGCAAATGTAAATTTGATAAGTCTGCAGGTTGGCTGTGGTGGGGGTATTTTTTATTTTGGATGGATTTTATGATTTGGACTTTTATTATGGTTATAACATTGTAGGACAATGAATACAGTTAGTTAATTGGTTGATCGTTTCATTTGATTACAAATCTTTTTCCTAAGGGTCTGACTTAGGGGAGGTACAAATGAGGCATTTAGTTCAAAATTCCTCCGTGAACAGCGCTGTAGTAGAGAGCACTTTGGCAATGAAGGTTTACTAATCGCAAAAATAGTTCTCCTCATAAAATAAAATTATAAATATCTCAAATTCAATTTTACTATTTTTAAATTATAAAATTAAACTATCATAACCTAACCGAACTAACCAAACTTGCTGATAAAGAAATAATATAACAAGAGTTTAGTAGTCGGAAAAATAATTCTGTTTATTAAATAAAACTAGAAATTGCTCAATTAAAATTTTATAGTGACTTAATTATAAAATTAAACTGTAATAACCAAACCAAACCAACCAAACTTGCTGATAATAAAAAAAATCTTGGACAAAAAGTTACTGCTACCAGCGGGATTCGAACCCGGACCTACAGTATAGCAGCCCGGCACGCTAACCATTAGACCACCGAGGCCCGATGGCTATCGAAAGTTTTGTTACGGTAATGGCGTTCCCTCAGCTAATAAGAAGCCCTCAGCTGTCATCGTAGCCTCTTCTATACCTCCCCTGAGTAAATACCTTTTCCTAATTGGTCAAATAGATTTTAGCCTAACAAAAAACCAATATTAAACAACATACCCATCACCATTACTCGTTTCAGATAGTCAAGATCAGCAATAACTCAACATGCCAGTACCATCAGGATCTTTCCAAACTTCAGGTCCCTCCTGTTTTGATAGAATGAAGATGGGGTTTACAATAGGCTTCTGTGTGGGCATGGCCTCAGGAGCGCTGTTTGGTGGTTTTAGCGCACTCAGGTATGAGTTTTATTATTCTTTTGCTTATACAGTATCGTTTTTTTTTGCTTACAAAGTGTATTTCAGAGTACTTAATGAGCCAAAACCCTTAAAACCTCAGTGAGCTTTGAATTTTGTCAATTAAACATCAGGAATAAGTTGATGAATTTTTACGGTCAACCCTTGAGAATAGCAACAGGTCAATTCAAATCCTTGATTTCTAAAGAAACTTTTGTTAGACTACTAACAATATCGAGTGAATCTAGATTCTTGAAGTAATTCATTATTTACATGTCCTTGGGATTAATTTTTATATCACAAGAAACTAGATTTTCGTGAAAATAACAGCGCAAAAATGGTTTAACGCTCACTTAAATTAATTGAATTAAGATCATTTTAATACTTTTGTTCTGCTTGTCTCTGTTTCTATTGCGGTAAACTGTGAGTAGATAATACATAAATTTATAGTCTAGAGGACATGATGAAGGGGAAGAATAGAAATAAAAACTGTAGCTCTAAATCAGTTGATACAAAGGCATTAATATAGACTTAGCATAATAAATAACTTCTTGATTAGCATTGTGTGTGTTGGCACTGTAATAGAAATATAAGTAAAATACGTCTTCCAATACTAGTTCGATAGGTGAACTGTAGGCTACAAGTGTAAATATATTGAAGTAGTGTTGGATGACATCATTTAGTTGTTATATAACTTTGTAAGTGTAATCATAATCTCCTTTAATACAAGATAACAACAACAAATGTGGCCAGTTGCACTTGCCAGCCCTTAACCACCGTAAAGGTCCATTTACGCATATATCAGTTCTGGCACTTCACAGTTCAGATAAGTCACAGTCAAAAAAATTATTCTTAGATGGATTTTCTTTTGCACTATCTACACTCTTTCAGCATAGTTCCAAACCAAGTCGCTCTGTCGGTTTCCGTCTGTCAATTTCAGATCCATTCCCACTGATATGTTGGGATTGTTTTGACGCATGACAGATGCTTACAGCCATGTGATCCTATGCTTTTGACATTTAAAAAAATATGTTTTTATTAAATACTGTAATTAATTGTATTTCTATTTTAAGTACTGTTTGTGACAATCATCAACATAAAAATTTATAGAATATTGTGTTTTAATACAAAGAATCTGTACTGTAACATTACTATTACTGTAAATAAAGTGACTGTAGACTGACTGAAACCAACTAACAGGTAGTTGACTGAGGAATTGGGGATGCGACTGAACTGTGACTGGACTGATGTGGGTGTGAATCGACCTAACAAATATGTAAACCTAAAAAATGTGCAGATATTCCATACAGGTCTATCCTACAGCTGTCTCGGTAGGCCGGGACTGCAGCAAAACTGATTTTGTGTTGCCTTGTATTTGTAGGTTTTTCCCCTCTAGGTATTGTTTTTCACATCACTTCAGGCTAGGTGTAGGGGAGGTCATGGTATTGTCACTTAGATAAAATCAATTGGTGATTGGCAGGATTTGTATCCAGTAACCGTACTTTACCACAAGACCAGCATCATTAGTTGGTAGCCCAATGACAAATGTGAAATTGTATCTGGGTCTTGTAACGATCTGGCTTAGAATCGAACCAGCGACTTTTAGATATGAATGTGAGCCTTGTAACCCCTCGGCTACCAACACTGTTAAATAAATTATGGCATACATTTTCATCAATGACAAAAACACAAGGTTTCATGATCTTGAATCTAATTCCGCCTTCAGGTGGGAAGAATCCTTGATTTTGATTAGCAAACAATCCATGCAATGCTGAGAAATCAAATAAGCTATAAACATGCGTTTAGACTTGTCGGCAAAATAAAACAAAAAAACTTTAATTACAACACAATATAAACTGATGTCTGAGGACATAAAAACTGTACAGCTAGAGTTCAGTTTTCCAATCGTTTCTACTATCCTTTTCTTATTTGATTAGTCTAAAAATGTTTTGTTTTCAGCTATTTCAATTCCTAATGCCCGGTTTGTGTACTATGCTCCATCCAACCTGAAGACAGAATCTGTTTATAGATTATATGATTATGAAATGTTGAGAATCTTGTGTGAGAAAATCATTGCATTGACCCGTCAAAAAGATAGTAAAATCAAGCTAATTACTCTACTATTACAGGTTTACATTATGTCTTGACACTAGGAACATATCCAAAGATCTCATATATTTGTTTGTTGTGACAGGTACGGGTTGAGAGGCAGAGAACTAGTCAACAGCGTAGGCAAGGTGATGCTCCAAGGAGGAGGAACTTTCGGTACCTTTATGGCCATTGGGACAGGGATCCGCTGCTGAACTGACGACTGCTTCATTGTATCATACTTTGTTTACTAATTATTCACAAACCCAATAATAAATTGTATAGTTTCATTAGACTATGTATAGACTTAAACTAATATATAATTTCTAATTAAATTTCTTTTGTAAATCACTAGTTTGATTCATTACCTTCGGTTGCTATCGACCGCGAGTTGTCCAGCGGGTTGACTCCGGCCAGTTTGGTTTTGCCGAAGGATAAATGACGAATGATGTGTGATGTGTTGAATGCAGACGATGAAAACGGTTGGACATCGTGCACTGTAAGACGACAAAGTTGACTTAGCGGAACTTTAAAGATTAATAGCTTGAAAGTAATTAACTTTTTGATGAACTTAAGTGTTCATTTTAAACACTTTTGATGAGCTTAATCTTTCATTTTAAATTGCTAGAAATTAAGTTATGTCAATGAATTATGGTAATACTATAGACTTCAATAACTTTAGGAACCTAAATCATGACAGGTTATCCTATAACTTAAGAGGTTTTATAAATGTGGTTAGTAACACCAAAACTCGTATTTTCTCTCATTTACTCACCATGTACGTGATTCACTGAAAAACTTTGTCCTGGAGCCACATGAAAACTTCCTCCCACCTGCAACAATGAGTCTGTTTTATTGGAAGTCTTATATATGTTCATACAAGTACTGTATGTTGTGATCCTACTCGCATTATAATTAATTACAATTGTAAAAAGTTGCTGCGTAATTGGTAAATATGCAGTTATAGAACTGGTCAAATGATAAGTCCATTTGATAAGATGAACACTAATCCAGTCCAAAACCTGGTTTTGTCTCATGTCAACTTGCAGTAGAAACCATAACCAATGTTAATGATGACAACTTTGTTCAGAACTTCAATAATTATTGGATAAGACAGTTTACGAGAGATTGTAATCATACTGCTACAGTAAGTGTTTGGATTATCTAAACAGTTATATTTGTTTAAGGAAAGGCTCTACGCCAGGATTTTAAATTGTAGAAAAAGGAGGATAGCAGCTAGCTTACCTTGAAAGTGTGGGTAGGCCATAGAACAAGTAGAAAAACACAATATTTCGTCCCCTAAGGGACTTTGTCAAGTGTAACTCTCTCTACACTTGACAAAGTCCCTTAGGGGATGAAATATTGTGTGCATAGTGTTTTTCTACTTGTTCTATGGCCTACCCACACTTTCAAGGTAAGCTAGCTGCTATCCTCCTTTTTCTACAATTTTAAACACTTATATTGACAGAGGAATATCAGAAAACAGATTTTCATCATCAAGTGGTGAGTCTAAAAGTAAATATACAATACATATTCAAACAAAAATTAAGGTTTTAAAAAACTGTGGAACTGTCAAACAATTTTTTTTAGTAACAAAGTATCGTTTGAAAGTAGCACTGGTATATAAACCTAAATTTTTGCTTAGTTTAAAGATCCGGATGCTATGTTTATTGGCCATGCCTATTGCATAACTGTTATGCATAATGACAGTAAAGTATTTCTGATTCCATCATAGAGGATTAAAGAAAGTGAAGAGTTTTACACTGGTTATCGTAGGATTATCTGATTTTTCTATTTGATGCTGTTGTAAATGTCATATCCATTTGTTCGATTAAAAGCCCAGCTAGACCACCAGAGTAAGTGATGATTTAGGCCTGTATTACACAAGTCAGTCAAGTTGAGCAACATCTGATAGCCAACTGCTTGTCCTTTTACCAGGCATTGGTTCTTATAGAACTTACAACACAAAGGCAACTAGTTTTGCTGCCAACTTCTTAGTTATGGGGCCAGGCGACCGCAACCACAGCTACTAGCTGTTTGGTCTGCTTGCGCTTCTGTGTACCATACAAATAATCTAACTTAATTAATAAATTGTAAATTGATTTACAGTAGAACCCGTAATATCCAGCCTCGGTTTCTCTGTTTTACCAGGAGGTTGATCTAGTCACTTCTAGTTTTATGCCCTAAACTACGACTCAAGCCCTCTCACGGTTTGTCTGTTTGTTTACATTTTACTGTGTTCACTACTTACTTGAGTTAGTATGACTAACCTCTAAACAATTGGTTGATTATTTACGGGCAGTTTAGAAGGCTATAGTACGGTAATTGTTTTGTCAAACAAACAAAAAACTTAAGTTTATGGCCTATTTTAAGGCCTAATAATCTTCAAAGCCAATTTATTACGATTACATTTTTACCTCCATCTTTATTTAGATATGAGTTTATGTTAACTTATCTGAATTCATCGATGACACATTATTGTTAGGCAGGCCTATAATCATAGTTTCTTTATTAGATTGGTAGTATCTGACCAGAAACTCAGCCCGTGGTGGCCAGATATGAGCGGTTCTACTTTATATAAAGTGTTGAAATAAATACATCAACTTACCCGATTAACCTCCAGATACCCATATATTTGACAGCCTTCCTTGAGAGCCCGAGCTACCTTCTCTGCATCTTGAGTAGACCTACATTGCTCTACTTTATCAATCTCTACTAGAGACCATCTCTTCAGTTCATACGCTTTCTTCACATCTTCGCACGTGTTACAGCAACTGAAAAACGTCAAGGAGAATAATTTATCTACCGTACTGTTTCTGATGCAAATCCATGCTAGGTAAAAATACATTTTACTAAAGTTCACGGTTTCATAACAGTGTTGTTTAATGATTGATAATAAAACTGGAAATATAGTCCGGCCATAGGCTCATACAAACAGTGTGCCGCATGGGGCCCCTCGCTTGTGACAAAAAAAAATTATCATCCATTGTTGGTCATTCAACACATATTTATGTTGTACTTTATTTGTTACAGCACCAATATTTTGTGCCGTACAAATTTTAGAAAATCACCCTCAATAATCACCGTTTGTTTTTGTGTCCTTGTTTCATGAAAAATAAATCGGAATTGATGAACATGACCACAATATTGCGGATATTGCCTCCATTACTACAACCTTGGGTAATCATCGCAGATGAGTTTCAGATCACGAAAAATCATTACGGATGTTACCTTGACAATGGGATCATGGATGTTGCCATGATTACTGAAGCTAATCTTGAATGTTGCCGAAATCACGGGAAATCACCTCAAATGCTGCTGTGATCGAGTAAAACCTGTCACAATACTTCTCTTAAAAATCTTCCTTGCATAATCAAAAATATCTTATAAACTTTTCCTCATTCTCTTCAAATCTTGCATAAGGTGATGATTCATTTTTTCCATTCATTTTTTTTTATAAATGGGATATACCCAATGTTTCCTATTACCTATTGAGCACAACAGCACCAAATCTAAATCATTATCAATGGAATCACCATCCTCCTATAGCCATGGAATGCATTTATAGAAATCACGGCTGCGCCACACTAAGTTGTTACCATCGATATATAACTACTACTGGATTGCGTGCTGTCCATAAGAGCTGTGTAGAGAAATTCGGTCGCGTACAGGTGTGTGTGGCGGGACGTATCGCGGTGTTGCAGGCGCCCGGTAGGGGCAAAACAGCAACTCGCGCCGCCGCCCCCTGCTATTCCCACCAACGAACTATCCCGCCAAAAAATTATTCCGCCACTAGCAAACCCCGCCAAATCTATAATAGTTTTATTTAACAATTCGAGGTCATGTACGAAGAAGCAAAAGTAAACCACCTGTGAACGAATCATCCTGCCAGTTATTAGTGAGACTCGGGCGCTTTCACGTGGTAGTTTGGTTAGCAATGTATGAATTAATGAAATATGAAATAATGATTTATTCCACCATAATTACATTACATACAAATGAAATAAAAACTTGGAATTACGTTACCACAGCATCTAGTTAATGTGACAACGTTCAATAAAAATTAACAATATAAAGTACATTCTATAAACTTTCAGCCCAGTCCACACATGAAAAACACCTTGACGCTCTCTGTGGCGTCTTGATGACAGTTGTTAAATTAAACAAAATAACAATATTATTACAATAATAGATATTTACAATAAAAATATATTAAAAAATAAATCCTATATAAGCAGTATAAAATCATGTAAATCAACAATTTAAAACATGATATGCTGATTTGATAATTACAATACAAAACGTTAAATTTGCAAAGATTTAGAAGAAAAAATCTTTATGTTACAACACTATTTAAAAAATCTATATTTGGCATCTCAATTAACCACTTTTTTTTATAGAAAATGACTTTAAATTTGCACTGCTTTTGATATCGTGAGGTAATAGGTAGAAATATTTTGGCCCACTGTACTGATAAGATTGTCTAAATATTGATTTGTTTACTTTGGGCAATCTAAATAATCTTTGACTGTTGCTTCTTGTGTTGTATGAAAGATTGTTTGTTCCATCATTCCCACTTCGAATATAAAATACCCCCGCCGCAGCAAACCTGCCGACTAAGCGAATTTCCATTTGTTTGAATAGATTTTCAGTTAAATATATTTTAATAACATTAGGTTTAACGAGTACCTAGGTTTGCTGCTACAAGGAAACTAACAGTGTGTTTTTGAGTAAAATATTGATAGCTTAGTACAAAATAAATAAATTTTGCCAAGTTTGATCAAAATATATCCATAAACAAGCAAACTACAACATTTGACAATATTCTCCATAAGAATAACATGGGAATTTTAAATTTACAATTTTTTTAATTTTCTCCGTTACTAATAATTGAACAACAATACTTTTACATACTAAACTATTTGTTTTTTTAAGCTTTTTAAAAAGGTCTAAAGAGAAATCGGGAAATTTTGTGTTTTGAGGGTCAAAAGTGAGAAAAACCAATTTTTACCCCATAAAACCCCCCGTAAAGCCCCGTTCCCATGGTCCGATCGTGCTGGTTCGCGAACTCATTCCCCGCGAAGTTTATCCCGCTTTACACCTTTAAACCAAATTTCATCAAAATCGGACAAAAATTACTCAAGTTATCGAGTTCACGGACGTATATATATATATATATATATACACGTCTATATATATATACATATATAAAAATTTGAACGAATGGTGTTTTTGGCCTCTGGGGACATCAAAATGAAAAACTAAATCGGTCCCGGGTCTAGGTCTTACCGTGCCACCTACGGTAATAGCTACTTCCCTATAGGGAAATTCGCTAAAAGTCTTAATCTATACTTATAAAAGGCAAAGCCCTCACTGACACACTCACTCATCACTAATTCTCCCACTTCCCATTTACCTAGGAGGCTGAAATTCGGTACACCGATTCTTTGGGCATTAAATAGGAAAACTAAGTAGTTTTTATTCTGATCGGGCTTTCGGGCTCCGCCCCAGTGGCTCTGGAGATTCCCATGTTAACCTTATGATTTTTCATATTGAAAAGGAATTAATGAATCTTAACAGCTGTTTCAATTAAACAAGTTGGTTCTGTTCTATGATGTTCAATAGCATTAAAGTTACAAGGATTACCAACAGGGTGCAGCACTATTATTTTTTTAAATTTATGACAACAGCTAATTTGCAACCAAAAGGTGAGTGAGCGTAGCGAACGAACTTCTACCTGGAGGCGAGTTAGCGTAGCAAACGAGCTAACCTGAAGGCAAGTGAGCGCAGCGAACGAGCTCCAACCCAAAGGTGAGTGAGCGTAGCGAACGAACTTCAACCAGGACGTGATTGAGCCATGCGAACGAGCTCATCTTGAAAATTAAGAAATTAAACGGGGCAAAGCCCGCGGGTACAGCTAGTACTTTATATAAGAACAGGTGTTGAATTGGAAGTATTTTTAAATGGACAAATAATGGATAGGAGCTATCTCTCTTCTGAGACGGAAGGTCAAAATTCTTCAACCGCGGATAAACAGAAGAGATGCTAGGATAAAATCCATGCGTGAAATGATTGTAGTGTTTAAGAAAAAACTTAAAGCACCTGATAGGTTAATAGAGGTTTTAGAAGAACAGTTTTCAGGATTTCCGTTAGATTTAATTGCCCATTCTATGAAAACTAGTAACACCAGTAAATTCAGGACCGTGTATTCAGAAAAAATGAAAGAATTTGCACTCACTGTCTATTTTTACAGTCCTAAGGGATACAAATACAGAGACAACGGCAATTAATAATTGCGATATTGATGACTGTGAAGAAAACGATGTAATTGACTTTCGAAGAGTGGTATCTGCGGAAAGTGGATCATACTACAAGAATAATGTATTATATTATATGTCTGGTTTTATTGTTAGAAAAATATTAGGTACAGTAACATGTGAAGAATGTGTTAGTCTTTTGACAGCTGACGAATGCAATTTAAGTAGCTACACCCATATGTCTAATGTTGACTTTGGAGAGGACACGCACGAAATTAAGCTGATAAAGTTAATCAGATTTTTTTTTAATAATTTGCTACAGTCATGCTGAAGAGCAAACCATTGCACTGTCAAAAGTTGGTATTCGTCTAAAACTAACAAAATTAGTACTTTTTAATCACGCGTGAAATGTAGGCTACTCTGTGTGGTACTGTATTCAAATAAATGGTTTTTATACAACTGTATTGTATTTTTATTGTTTAATTTATCAACCTTTTTATAAAACCCATAACCCAAACCATCCAAGCAATTTTTTAAATACAAATACTATGTTATCGCCCAACTTTATAACAATGTAAATACACGTTGTATTGTATAGCAATTATTTGATTACTAACTTATATACTTTCGGTTTTTAATATAACTAGATAATGAGTCCAAATATCCCCCGATGAACATTTTTCGTGAATCAATAGTTAAAATAGGGTAAACAAATGCAATCACAGCGTCAGTGCGATGTAAAACCCAAGCACCGTGCGGGTTTCTTGCCCCTTTCTTGCCCCTACCCGACGCCTTCAAGTGCAGAACGCAACCACTGATTTCGGCTCGGGCTAGCGAGCTCAGCCAGCAATCCAGTAGTAGTTATATATCGATGGTTGTTACATACTATTTCACAGCACCAAAGTAGTGGAGGAGGGAAGGGATAGTCCACCTGTTTGCGGGCTCCTGCGACCGTGTGCGTTGCAAAAAAAATCTGTCCGCCTGCAGGGGTCCATTCTCATGAGTCTGTTTGTGTGTGTGCCGGTCTTAACACTAACCAAAACATAGGCGAGACTTTGGATTACCTGATAATTAAAGTCATTTACAGTAATACAAATACATCCCCTTCTCGTCTGATCCATTATTAGTCACACGGGATGAGTAATAATATATTTTTTTAATACTATAGTTAAGCTTTATGACATGAAGACTTTTAACACATATTGCATTTGCTCCCCTAAATTCAATGTTCAAAAAAATAATTTCATATAGTTTATATTAATACTGTATGGAAAATAATAGAAAAAGTTGTCTAAACGTCGAGTTAAACTACAAAACTGACTTACGTAATATTTCTTTCTGGATTTTCAGCACCATAACAGCTTCCACACTTGGGCAAAGCAATTGCGGTATCATTCTGAAAATTTAAATTACAACTTTAAAAACAAAATTGTTGTTAATTGAATTCCAACAAAGCTGAGAACGCACCTTTGTAGGATGTTATGAGTGCATAAGGAATTTCAATTTGAACACCCTAGTGTGGTAAAATCATTAAATTAAAGACTCTTTATTACAACATATTTTGATAAACATAAATAGGGTTTGTAAAATGCAACTAAAAATCAATACTTTTGGCCCTAAACACCAAGATATTTACCTAGTTACTTACTTACTTGGTATGTTCACTGCCAACTTCTAGGAAAATTACCCAACAATTTTAAGGCCCCGCCCATCAATATGGTAAGACCGCCGTTAGTAATAACAAACATGTAAACATAAACATTGTGCAGATACTCCAAATAAAATTGTGCAACAGCTGTCTTGGTAGTCCGGGACTGCAGTGTTACGTATTTTGTCTCACATTGCACAGGTACTTGTTTTATTCCTCTAAGTTCTAGCCCAGAATTGTTTTCCATATCAATTCAGGCCAGGTCTAGAAAGGATTATGACATTATCTCTTAGATAAAATCCATTAGTGATTGGCGGGATTTGAATAAGGTACCTTGGGGACCGAATCTCAGGTGATTCAATAATTATTTTATAACGTCTCATTCTTTTCAAGTTCTCAACTTTATTTTGGACTCAAACCGCGATATTGTTAATTTGTTATCTATTACTATTGTAAAGAAGAGGTGGTGTCTGTCTGTGTGTAAAAAGATCCACTTCTGGAGGTGTCGTCAGAATATGTTACAAACATTAAACACAAAACAATAACAGATATGCCTATCAATTCACACGTGTACATTGCCGCGGGCAGGACTGGAAGTAAACTGAATCAGGTTATGACGGACCGACGTGGTCTCTGGATTGTCGTCTGTGTTATCAAAAGCTGTCATTAGACTAATTGTAGTGACGGAGGGTAGTGTTGAAAATATAATGGCATTCTGTTCTATTTCTAATTTAAGAATATTAAACACACATCTTGTTTCAACAAACTCTATTTCCAAACTAAACCAATGTTTACAAAAACATGTTTACAAAAATCATCTGTCAACAAAAGATATTTAAACACAAATAAATCATATGACTAAAAGAACAGACTTAATACAACATCCCGCCTCAAGATGTCTACATCTTCATGAAGCTCGGTACCGCCTCGGTATCTTGATGGACCTTCCGTAACGGGTAACTGTGCTAGCGTCTGGACGATCACGTGAGTTAGATGGACAATTGAGGACCGTAGATGAACAGTTTGAAAGAATACAATCTTCTCCGTAGTATCGTGCAGGAACTAAGAACTTCCGGTTTCGTCGAATGGTTCTCTTGTCAGTGTCCACAAGGTAGGAACGTGGTTCGTTCAATTTCCTGACTACTTTACCATGTCTACGTAGATCTGTGATCCATACCATGCTTATAAGCCCTAACACTTGGTTTCCACAGCTTGCTTTTACCTCCTGGGCCCAGGCTCTGTTATTGTTTTCTATATTCCCGATGAAAATCTCAGGAACCTGTAGATCTCCACAGTCTGAAACTTGCTGTTCGATTTCTTTAACGACGTTTTTGTTTTTTCTCATCCACTTTTCGCGGTAGGGACAGCATCGAAAAAAATGTCCAATCTCGGGACATTTGTCACATTTGGCTTTCCTAGCAGGACATTCGGCCAGTGATCCGTGCCAATTATAACCACATTTCCTGCACTTCTTTGTATTTTCTGCATCCTCGATGTATTTCTGATCACAAACTCCTTCAGTCCGATTCGGTTTACCGTTTTTAACTGACGTTTTATTTACCAAAAAAACATTAGTATTGGCGAGTTCACATTTTTGGCGTTCTAGCTCCTCATGTTGGCGCAGGGTATTAATTTTTTTCTCCAGAGTCAATTGAGAGTCCAGCTGGAGTCTATCACTTAGAGCCTCATCTTTCATACCAATAATGAGGACGAGAAGCATCATCTCATCATTTAGTTCACCCCATGCACACGTTTTCGCAAGGCCATGCAAATCTGTTATAAATTTTTCAGATGGATCACTACCTTGCTTGTGTCTCAAAAATTTTGATCTCTCATAAATTATATTCCGTCTTGGCACAAAGTATTCATCAAAGGCCCGAAGAGTCTCGTCATAAGTATTAGGTTTTGGTGAAAACGAATCGAAAATATCTTCACTTCTACTACCCATTGTAAACAAAAGTACATCGATTTGCCGAGCGTCGGAAGTGCTATCCAGACCGCAACCCCATCTGTACCTTTGAAAGCGATTCCTCCAGGAATGCCACTCATTCGGAGTAAAAGAGAACGTTTCCGGAGTTGGTAACGTGATATTGATCATCGGAGTAGTAGTACACATAACTGCATTATTTTCTCGGTTCGTATGTACCAATGCAAATCCTCGTGACTCATCTTTAGTCTTTCTAGAGTCCCTTTCTGAAACGTAGTTGAGTTCACTTTGGGTGTCGTCCTCACCGTTGTCCTCATACCTTTGCCTCCGAGTACCGGTATTTCGTTTTTTTCTGCCCTTACTTGACATTACGTGTGGTTTTAGACTTTCAGTTCGATAAAAATCCACTAAGCTGCCACCATGTTCTATTTCTAATTTAAGAATATTAAACACACATCTTGTTTCAACAAACTCTATTTCCAAACTAAACCAATGTTTACAAAAACATGTTTACAAAAATCATCTGTCAACAAAAGATATTTAAACACAAATAAATCATATGACTAAAAGAACAGACTTAATACAACACATTCATAATTGAGTTTTCCATTCAAAATTATTGACAATAATAACCAATTTAAATGCTGGATAAAAATGATGGTCTCGACATTCTACATTACTGCAGAAAAGGAAATTTATTAAATACTTTGGAAGAGTTTGAAATATATAAATACATAAAACTACGGACAGCACATAAATTTTGAATGAAAGCACTCAATTAATTATGAATCCCATTATATTTTCAACACTATTCTCAGCACTACATCCAATATCAAGACAATCCAGAGACCACGTCGGTCCGTCATAACCTGATCCTGATTTAGTTTACTTCCGGCGACGGCAATGTACACACATGAATTGATAGGCATATCTGTAATCGTTTTGTGTTAAATGTTTGTAACGTATTCTGACAACACTTCCAGAAGTGGATATTTTTGTAAGCCTGATGATGGTGAAGTTAAAGAACCGCCAAAACATATTATGTACAGTACCAAGTAAAATTCTACACTACCGTACATGTTAAGGATTGTCTGACAAGGTGTGTTTTTTTTTTTTACCATTCTTAGAAGCAATCTTAATTACAAATGGCAAAATGTTGTTGGTGTTAATGCGTGTTGAAAAACTTTTTCGGGCTGCTTATACAAAATTATATATTCATTATGACAGCTAGCAAAACAACATCCCCCCCAAAATTCCTGTGGCGCAAACACGCCACAGTACCCCCCTCTGGGCACCCCTGGTAGGAGTGCATCCATTTTTAAGGCATTTTCAGTTAACCAACATTGTCTCTTTTGCATATTGACCCCGTTGCAAGGCAATACCAAAAAGGAAAAGGTTTGTAGGATGGAGTTTAAAATGAAAGGAAACTTAAATTAAATTAGGCCCTACCTGTGATTTATGCGTCCCAAGTTCTGAAACACAAACCAGTATTGTTAAAAAATAAAACTGAAAAAAGTCAACCGTATACCTATATATATTATCATTACAAAAACATTTGTCCTTATGAAAACAAGTAAAATTTCACAGCCTTCTATTATCAGGCATCTTCTGATTAACAGGTAACTGCTTGGATGATTGGTAGCCATTAGACTGATAGGCAACCTTTTCAATTAAAAAGATCCAAAATTAATTTTTGGTTGCCAGGTATAACTAGTTTCTAGGGATGGACGAGATTGGATTTTTAGTTCGAGACGAGACAAGACAAGATTTTTTATTTCTCATAAAATTTCGAGACGAGATCGAGACGGGATTTCCCTTCTCATACACAACGGGAAATGCATGTTCAAAATTGTTACCTGATTTTGTAACATTGTTAGATGACTGTTTAAATACATTCCCATGTTATTCTTATGGAGAATAAGTCAACTGTTGTAGTTTGCTTGTTTATGGACATATTTTGATCAAATTTGGAAAATACATTAATTTCTTACTAAACCGCAGTACCTTTTAATATTTTACATAAAAAACTTTTTTACCCTCCCTGTTGCAGCAAACCTAAGTACTCATTAAACTAATTCTGTTTAAATAGGGAATAAATGTGATATTTTTAAGGAGACATTTTAGTTTAAATCCAATCAGGCAAATGGAAATTCGCTAAGTCTGCAGGTTTGCTGCGGCGGGGGTATTTATAGTAATAAAACATTCCTCACACTGCTTACACTTAACAAAACATCTCAAATGTTATTAAAGTAATATTATTAAATAATTAAAGAGTAATATTTACATTTAAAGAATTAATTAAATAAGAACGCCTTCGCAAAGGAAACGCAACTACAACACGCTCCTGTATTGCGGGTATTGCATTGACTTTCTGCAGGCGTTTTTAATTTTTTTTTTTTTTTCTCGTCTCGATAAAAATCTCGGCCAAAAAGAAATCTTGTCTCGTGTAACGAGATTTAAAATTTCCCGAAATTTCGAGACTTGACCATCCCTACTAGTTTCCCAATCACTTATTTTATAGTCGGATTGGTAACATTACAAATGCCTTAAGACCAAAAAAATTATGAAGAAAAACCATTTTGTTACAGTAAACTATACCCATCCTATAAAATAATGAACAATATGTTTATCCTGTTAACAAAAATGTCTTATACATTGTAAACACGGTAATTATAATTTATATTTGTTATATCTTACTCTCTTCCTTCTTGGGATCTTCAATGGGGTTTCCAGCAAGATCTAAACGTCGTTTGAATATACTATGTTCAATATGTAAATGTTGTTCGCCAGAAGAGTCCATTGCATCAAGGGCAAGGTCTGTAAAACAAATATAATCTTATAAATTACAAAAGACTATAATTCAAACGATAAATTTTACCAAGATTATTGCTGCAGGGTAATTTTAATCTTACATTTTAATCACTGTCATACCCATTACTCATCCCATGTTTCATAGTTTTTACTAGCTTTCATAGTAAAGCTGATCCATACAGGCAGTCAGCGAACATAAGAAGTACTTAAGAACAATTGAGCAGGGTATCCCTGGGAATCTCCGTTATTTCTGGAGTCACGTCAACACTCTAAAAAAGTCTTCCACAATACCATCCCGTCTTGTCTACAATAGTTCCATCGCAACTGAAGCTGACGACATGTGCAACCTCTTCAAGAATTTCTTTTCTTCAGTTTTTACAAAGCCAACGGAATCATTTGATGTGTCAACCTTTGGTCACCTTGGAGACTCCCAAACTTTAAGGTTTAGCCCACGTGAAATCTTTGAGAAACTTGAAAAGCTCGATGACACTAAAGGTTGGGGTCCTGATGGCATACCTCCAAGGGTATTGAAACACAACAGGTGTTTACTGGCTCCACCAATCTGTGACATATTTAATGCCTCAATGGACTCTGGTATCTTTCCTGATGCATTCAAAAGGGCTTATGTGGTACCGATTCATAAGACTGGTCCAGTTGAAAATGTTGCTAACTATAGGCCAATCTCGATTCTTTCCTCTATATCTAAAGTATTTGAAGACCTTGTCCTTGATCGAATCAAACATAAACTTGCAGGGATTGTATGCTCTCAACAGCATGGTTTTACAACAGGAAGATCAACAGTGTCTAACTTGATTCTTCTCCAAACCCGAGTTCAACAAGCCTTTGCCTCAAACAAACAACTTGATGCTGTTTATTTGGATTTCTCCAAAGCCTTCGATACGGTGGACCACACCCTTCTGCTGCGGAAAATTCAAGACCACGGCTTTGGAAACAAATTCGTCAGGTGGCTGGCCAGTTATCTGTCTGACCGTCGTCTCAATGTCAAGTATGCGTCGGCTCTCTCCTCTGAATTTGTTTCCTCTTCAGGGGTACCCCAGGGATCGTTACTTGGTCCGTATCTCTTCACAGTCTTCATAAATGACCTCCCTGACGCACTTCAGAACGAATCTCTGCTTTTCGCTGACGATGTAAAGATTTTCTCCACTATATCTTCTTTTGATGACTGCCTCCGGATTCAGAGAGATCTGACTAGTCTTGATTGTTGGTGTGTGGACAACAGGATGAATTTGAATATCAAGAAGTGCCAAGTCATTACTTTTCATCGCTGTAAAGTCCCTATAAACTACAATTATTCAGTTCGCAACATAAATATTGACCGAGTGCAGCAAGTTAAGGACCTCGGCATCATCTTGACGCCCTCATTGAACTATCAAGCTCATGTATTGGATTTATGCTGTAGAGCAAACAGAACGCTCGGTTTCATCTTCCGTTTCTCAAAGCAGCTCAGCGGTTCAGAAGCTCTAAAGTCCCTTTACTGTGCCTTGGTGAGGCAAACTCTCGAATATGGTTCACCAATATGGAGTCCTCATCAAAAGTTACTAATAAATGAGCTGGAGAAAATTCAACGAAGATTTGTTCGAATGGTGGGCTTCAAGATGGGATTCCCATACCTTCAGGTGCCCATTGACACTATATCCCTGGCACTTGGTCTTCAGTCGCTGGAGGAACGTAGACTCATTGCTGACACGGTCCTGCTGCACAAGATTATCAACGGAAGAGTCGACTGTCCTGACATGCTCCGCCAAATCCATTTCAAGACTCCTTCCAACACAAGGTCGACTGATCTGTTTATCAAGCAACAGCACCGCACTAGCTACTCAGCAAACAGCACGATGGTTCGAGTCCAGGGAGCTGGCAACAAAGTGACAAGGCATGTTGACTTTTTTCAAGACAGCGTAACTACACTCAAAAAGAAGATCAATCTCAGTCAGTCCTAATTAAAAATTGTTTTTCTTGTACCATTCAAACAAATACTACTTGTCTGTTAAAAATTTTCTCTTTTGTCTTTGCATTTAACTTTAGGTTTGTCGTTGCTCTTTAATCAATTAATTTATATTATTCAATCTATATATTTATCTTTCTCATTTGTTATTGTTGTTAGTGGGTTTGTTGTTATTGTTTCATATTTTTTATTTATTGTTGTTGTTCAAATTATTTATTATTAGTTTACCTTTTGTTATTTTGTCAGTTTTTGTTTTGTTTGGCTAGGTTTGGCATTGTTACTGTTGTTTGTTATTAGATCATTATAATGTTGATTTATTTCTAATATATAAGCACAAAATTTGTATTATCAATTAAGTCATCCTGAGTTTAATGTTTTGTTTTGTATGCTGTAAAATGGAGATGTCCGTTGGAAATAAATAAATACAGTACTCCGCTCAGCATGATGGAGAGAGCAAAAGGAATTTGTTGTTACAATTTAGATTATTGCAGACATTTCCCATCATGATTGGTAAAAAAACAAACTTGAAGTTTGAAAACTTTGTCTTTGCTTAATCATGGTGGGAAATGTCTGCAACAATCTAAAATAACATAAAACTTGTTCTGTTATGTCCACCGTGCAACCTGTGTCCATTTGCCCTGTGTTTTAATACCACTGTGTATTAAAATGTCTTTTTAAGTTACTTGATATTTTGGATTTGAAAATGGGTCTTTTAACTGAATCTAGTAATCCCCAATCTACCGTTTTATGACTGAAGACGGACAAAAGTATGTAACCTATTACGTATCTATTTTATGCATACAAAATTACCATAAGAATACCACCTATATAAATAAAATTACAGTTTTGTCTGTACATTGCGTAGAATCATGCAGTTTTTGGTTATTTTTACGTTTCATAGCCTAAGAAAGCCGAAATCAGTCATATTTCAATTTCTGTCCGTCTGTCTATCTGTCTCTCTGTCATTCTGTCTGTAACACCAAAATGTCAATTCACACGGCCTACTCCGAGAAAACTAGAAAACCGATCCAGGGTCAAATATTTTTTCTGTATTCACTGGATTGTTGAGAGTGTCTTTGGCTATTAAAATATGGCCTTACTACTTTGGAAATAACCTCAAAAACTTAATTTTGTGAGATTTCTCTCAAGTTTTATCCTAATGTTTACTACATATGTCATATGAAATAATGAACAGCTGTATGGATTAAGATTCTCACTTCTAGCTGTCACTAATATGTTTACATTGAATGTTGTTTACAAATACTGCAATACTTACAATTACATTTTGTATAAGCAAATCAAAAACCATTCATTTAATCAAGTGTGATAGTTTTGATAACCGGGAAAAATACTGTAAATCAGTATTGTATAGGACTGGGAAACTTACATTTTTAAATAATTGTCACCAATAGCCTACAATCGAGGATTCCACTCATTAACGGCGTTTCGATGGCTGTTGTATAAAGTAAATAATCACAACTGCAGTGCGTGATCTTTGAGTTTTGTTAACCGGGAAAAATACCGTAAATCAGTATTGTATAAGATGAGGAAACTTACATTTTTAAATCATCGTCACCAATAGCCTACAATCAAGGTCCACTCGATAACGGCGTTTCGATGGCTGTTGTATCAAGTAAATAATCACAACTGCAGTGGGTGATCGCGGGTGTTGCTGTGATCCCAGAAGACCTTTACGATTTTGTTGTGATTGTTACGGTGTTTTTTCTGCTAAACTCACTTTTCCAATATGTCACTTTCGGTTTCGACTCATCGCTATTGCGCTGCCATCATTAGACCATACTGCAAACAGGCCTATGGGCCATCTCCTATTACACATAACCACATTTTGGGCACCGGTACTTTTCCCAAGAACCAGTGAGTGTTAGCGAGAGTCACTTTTACAACACAACACACCACTACTTTAAATCTTAGTTATTGTTGCATCTTATAAGTCTTATAGTCTTAGCTTGTGTTGCATCTTTCTTACAGCCGTTTTAAATTTACTTGTTTTCCTTTTAGGTAGAATATTTTTTGATTCCACCCATTGGTGTAGCTAAAATATTACAATCCAAACCAACCTAGTGTAATATATATGAATATGAAAGCAGGAACATAAACATAAACACATTATTTCACTGGCCCGAAGGTAAACATTTTTAAATAGCATACAAATGAGGTTTCCACTTATTGACAGCGCTTCGATGACTGTTGTGTGAAGTAAAATCACAACAGCAGTTTAACCGCAGATGTTTCTGCGATCTCTGAAGATCATTAGGATTTTGTTGTGATTGTAACAGAGGTTTACTCCAATGTGTCACTTTCGGTTTCTACTGCTACTCACTGCTATTGCACTGCCATCACTGCACCGTACCACCGCCAATATGTCTATGGTTCATCTCCAATGGGTACACAGGCCTACCCAATTGCCCGTAACCATATTTTTGAGGTTGGTTTTTGGTACTGTTACTTTTCCTTTTTTAAGTAGCAACACATCACTATTTACAACTTAGTTATTGTTGTTGTTGCATCTTATTTCTTACAATCATATTAAATTTAGGCCTAATAGATGTCTTCCTGTATTCCGTTTTCTGTCTGGATTCCAAAATGTTATTCCATGCTATGAAAATTTTAACACATTAGAGTAAAACATTTTTGAGTAAACCATCATTAATTATTAATGCTTTACGTTGATGACGTAGCCTATCAATAGTTCCTGGCCGGTTTATTGTAAATTACCAATTTAAATAGTTTTTAGTACTTCATATGATATAGTGTACAGTCATTTTGACATTATTTCGAGTCATCTTGGTTTTAAGGAATTATAAATTGTTATTTCTGGCGGCATTATCACATTATCACGATAAGTAAATACGATATGATAACATTTGATGTTACTAACAAAGATTGCAAATACAGTAGGCCTACTTATTTTACCTGTACTTTACTTTGGTTAAAGCATAGTAAATGACCTAATTAAATTCTGTCTTTTTTGTGTATGTCTGTTGTTAACGCATCAGAGTGCTTATTTTTATGTGTATCACGGAAAAGACAAGAGCACAATTGTTCATGAAAATGTCAACAGGAATGAAGTGTGCAGTTGTGAGGTAGTATTTTTTTAAACTACAGTACTTTAAATCCAGTGTGGGAAGTAGCTCTTTCATTTTTACTTAGGGCTATGCATCATAAATCTACAGTGTTTTTTGTTTATTTGTTTAATCATTGGATACAAAATATACTAACTAGATTTATATCCGGGTAACATTTAATTGCTAAGTATTTGTTTTGGCATGAGGTATTGTATTTGCAATGATGTGTATCCTATAATAGTTTTCCCTGCATATCTGGAAAAATGCATACTAAATATGCAAACCAATTGCGGATCTAAGAAGGTTTCAACTGACTACAAGTTCCCCGTTGTAGAACGGGTACACAGCTAGTTATACTTACAATCACACGACACAGCTGGTACCACAATATCTATGTTAATCTGCAGTTTGCTTCCACTAGAAGTATCAACTACTATCATCTCCACTGTTTCTGTGTTGAATGCAAATTCATAGACACGCTTACTCAGCAAAATTGCAATCACTAGCCAACAAAGAATCGAGGCTGAAACAAGACCATGATAGTTAAAACTTATATGAATAAAGTAGGGGGGATCACAAAAGAAGGAGTAATTATAAAAACATTTAAAGTTGGAAACAAATTATATCTTGCAACTTATATTTGCAATTGATCAACGAGGGCTGTCCATAAATTAACATATGCCTAATTAAAGCCTTCAACAAGATGCTGTGGCGGCAAACCAATTTAGGTCAAATCTGCCAACAGTACTGCGAGCTTTACTTCAACCACTGCCATTTTAATATGATCCCACTCGTCTTGTTTGAGGCAGTGAGTACAGTTAGAGATATATTTCATCCGTATTGGGGTTTGACTGAATGAGAGATTGGCCTAACTGCATGGCTATAAGATAAGGCTGCCAAGCACAGCAGTAAATCCTGGTAGTCTAGAACTTGTCGATCAGCTAGCAAAGCTTCCATCACTTAAATGGTATCTCGATGGATATCAATGAACACTATCCTCTTGTGTTGTTGTGCAAACGTCCAAGGCTTTCTTCAACTCCTTTAAAGCCACTTTAGCTCATTTTGTACTTCTAAACAATTTTCTGTAAACACAACCGTCAACTGGGGATGACCAAATACCTACACAGTGTGATTTATACTTGGAGTGAGTGTCGGTTTTCCCCCACACTCTTTTTGTGAGGATTAATTTTTGTTGACTCTTTTTGTAAATAATAATTGATCTTGGAATAATCGATATATCGATCGATATTTTCATTCGGTTGTTTTTGACAACAGACACGGAAGTCAACCCCAATTTTATTGCAAATTGTATTTGATTCTCTGAGTTATTATTTCACAGCTTTGGCCGGGTTTGTTTGAAATTTAATCGCTGTATGCTTTAGGTACTTTCTCACCGGAGGATGAAATTAGATTCTGGATCCTGAAACGTTGTGAAAACTTGGTTCCCTAAACTAATTTTAATGGAAAATGATTGCAGTAATCTCTTGAATACCAATATTTCTTTATCACCAATAATGACATTTAAAAATAGCCTAGGAAGTCTAATCGTTGCATAGGGGTGGGGACATTATAAGAAAGTATATTAGTGCATGGGTCACTAGGGTATCCTGGATTTTAACCTGGAGTTGGAGTGTTGACTACAAGTTTATTTTTAGAAGACTGAATTACAAAAAGCCCCCTGCAATATACTCAGTTGGGATGGCCAAGTTTGTGTTTTAACTGAGCTTTTCTTCCCTAGAGGCATATTACTCATACAAATAATAGACTATCAGAATGAAATATTCTTACCTGTCCCTCCAGAAACAGTTTTAACCCTAAAATCCTCAATGGGCTTTGAATATGCATCTAACTGTTTGAGTGTTTCTATACTAGGCTGGAACTTTTTTAGAAAATTCATTATATTTTTCCACTATAAAACTTAAATTAGCCTTTAAATAAATAATTGATTTAAAATTTTAACCTAATAACATACACGTAAACAAAAATTATTGAAGCAGGCGATACACAGTGAACCCGGTTTGACACTTTGACAATCTGCTTTTTGTAAAACATACAGACCAATTTAATTTGTTGATTGACAGTACATTAGACAACGAGTAAAACTACGTTCATTGATCACGTACTATATCTAATGAGGTTTTTTCCTAAGACGCTAGACACGAGACCCCCAAGCTAGACCTAGGGGTTCGGCATATCACTTTTAGATAAAATCCATTGGTGATTTGGTGGGATTTGAGCCCGGGACCTCTCCCCCCAAAATGAAATCCTGGGACCGCCACTGCTTAAGGAACTAAAGTCCCACGCTCTAACCACTAGACCAGCCCGCTCCCCATATCTAATAAAGTGGATCTTTCCTCCAATATTTTCATACGGTGCTTATGCTATATGCGATTTTTTCAATATAAACTTATATTTTATGGTTTCAGTTATAAATTGGATTTCAGTGCTTAAATGTTATATAATAAAATTAATGGAGGATACACAGGTTAACCATGTTTGTGTGATTGTTCTTAATCCGTTTTTTCCATTTTTTTTATAAGTCATATATAATCACACGAATATATTTTTCAGTCTGTCCCCGACCCGCGGCGCGACTGTATGTTCGTCCAAACACGCCTGTAACGTCTCTATACGTGTTTTAAATGTTTACGTGTGGTGTCAATTACGTGTTTTATGTGTTAATTTATTGAACTATGATGAAGACATCTGGTGGAATACAACACTTCATAAGTAAAAGTACTCAGCTGATGATGACACAACGTGTCGAAACCTGTTTTGACTGAAATCAAATTTATTTATTTATATTTATATTTATTTATTTATTTATTAATTTGGCACATAGCACTAATTGCTCTTTACATCTAAGGTCTAAACACCCTCGCCGCAGCAAATCTGCAGACTAAGCAAACATTTATCTGACATTTATCTATGATTATCACATCACATCAGTTTGGTTTCAGACGGAAACACAGTACCATAGAACAGGTTCACCGAGTTGTTCGTGATACGTCAATGTATGGAAGATAAAAAGTTTTGTTCAGCTGCCTTCTTGGATGTTAGCCAGGCATTCGATAAGGTGTGGCATGTTGGCTTGTTATATAAAGTAAAAAAGTTTTTACCCCATTCGATTTATGGCATTTTAAAATCCTACCTTCAAAACAGGACTTTCCAAATTAAATATCAAGACGTCCTCACTAACCTACGTCCAATCGAATCTGGGATTCCTCAAGGAAGTGTCCTAGGGCCGTTTTTGTATATTCTCTACACAGCAGATCTCCCAGAAAATGAGTTGGTAGAAATTGCTACATTTGCGGATGATACTGCGGTTTTGTCTGTTCATCGTGATCCATTTCAAGCTTCTCTAAATTTACAGCGAAATCTGAACATAATTACTGATTGGTTTAAGACATGGAGGTTCAAAATTAATGAAACTAAATCTGTCCACATTTCTTTTACTCTAAATCAAAGTTCTTGTCCTCCTGTCACAATAAACAACACCCAACTTCCCGAAGTAACTGAGGTTAAATACTTAGGTATCCATTTAGATAGGAAGTTAACTTGGAAAACACACATTTGGAGAAAACGGCAACAACTAAATTTAAAATCTAATCAGTTAAATTGGCTCATCGGAAGAAAATCAAAACTTAGTCTAGAAAATAAATTATTGCTATATAAAACTATATTGAAACCAATCTGGACATATGGAGTGCAACTATGGGGCTCAGCGAGTACTTCTAATATAGAAATTCTCCAACGATACCAATCGACGATGCTGAGGAAGATAACAAATGCACCATGGTATGTCAGCAATAGAACACTACATCAAGACCTTAAGATGCCTACAGTTAAGGACGAAATCATGACCATAAGTGAACGATATATTACGAAATTGGAATCTCATGAAAATCATTTAGCTCTTAACTTATTAAACAACATGGATACAATTTACAGACTTAAGAGGCCATCAATTCTGGACCTGCCCTTCAGATTTTTGTAAAGTGTTTTTATTGAAAGATTTGTTGTTGAGAATGCTTAACAGCTATTTTTAATGTTCCAAAGTCAATTTTTCGTATTATATAGTATTTACTTATTGTTCAATCCCTATAATAGAACAGATTGTAAAGTAAACAAATAAAAAAAAAAAAAAAAATTGAAGTATGATGAAGACATCTGGTGGAATACAACACTTCATAAGTAAAAGTACTCAGCTGATGATGACACAACGTGTCGAAACCTGTTTTGACTTGACTGAAATTCACCATCCAGTATTGAGCCATTGACGTAAGTAATTTGTTCTTACAATAATCATCTACAGCTTATGGGCTTAACAATGAATTTTAATAATCACACGTCTTCGGTACTGAGACATTGACAAACAAGAGACAAGGTATTCAGTGATCAGTGCCGGATTTAGGGTACTTGCGGCCCTAGGCCAAATTACTTGAGCCTGTGGTGGAAATTCCTTGCAATCGCGGAAGTAATAGTGTCCGTGAATATCTCCTATGCATCAAGAGGACATCATCATCGACATCCATGATAGTGGATGAAATCGTGGACATCTCTCCTAAACCAAGTCAAAGCCATCATAGGTATCCGGGACCGCGGCAAATATGTAAACATCCCCCGCGGGCTGCAACAAAGGAACATCATTCTCGACATTCGTGACCGTGGCAAAATCGTGGTCATATCCTGTGAGCTGTGACCTTGAGGACATCATCACCGTCACCCGCAACCGCAGTAAAATCGTGAACATCTCCCGCGGTCCGCAATCACGGGGACATCATCATCAACACTCGCGACCGTGGCAAAATCGTAAACATCTCCCGCGAAGCAGCAATTACGGGGACATCACCATCGACACTTGCGATTGCGGCAAAGTCGTGTTAAAAATATCTCCCGTGGACTGCAATCATGGATGGATTTCATTGATAAATTCATTGCCATCACCATTTCCATATGTTTTAGGTAAATAAACAAGCTGGTTGTTTGTAAGATTTTAATGGTAAATCCACCACTGTGACTGGAGTCTAAACCTTCGCTAAATCATCACGATGTTGTCCCCTGGCGCTGCGGAGTGGGGGAAATGATTCTCCCTCCACCTCCCCTCTAGACGGCGTCCAAACAAGCCCGCGTTGTTTTACATGCATAAACCTATGCTGCAGTTTTTCAATAGGTTAAAAAATGAATATTTATAAAATTAAACTGTCATAAACTAACCTAACCAACCAAACATGCTGATTATATAAAAAAATATATAAAATAATAATCGAATGAAGGTTTACTAATCGAAAAAATAGTTCTGTTCATAAAATAAAATTATAAATGCCTTGAATTCAATTTTAGAATTTATTAATTATAAAATTAAACTGTCATAACCTAACCAAACCAACCAAACTTGCTGATAATGAAAAATCGAACAAGGTTTACTAATAGAAAAAAAAATAGTTCTAAAATTATAATAGCTCAAATTGAATTTTTTATTGTTTTAATTAACAAATTAAACTGTCATAACCTAACCAAACTTGCTGATAATGCAAAAATCTTAGACAAAAAGTTAGTGCTACCGAGAAGATTCGAACCTGGTACCTTCAGATCCTCAGACCGGCACGTTATCCATTAGACCACCGAGGCCGGTGGCTAGAAACCGTATCGTTGCGGTAATAGTGTTCCCTCAGCCAATAGAATGCTTTGCTTCCCCCACTCCGCAGTGCCAGGGGACAACATCGTGATGATTTAGCGAAGGTTTAGACTCTAGTACCACTGTGACGTAGTGTTGCGCTGCCCGTGCTGCAGCATGGCCTGTTTTTTAAAACGTTTTTATTAGCTCGCTTTCTTGTCCGGTACAAATTTTGCAATCAATTTTATACTAACTTCCCGATGAGATAGAGACTTGAAACTTGAAATATAGCTCACAAATGGAAGACAATGCAATATTATATCATTTAATTTTCATATTTCCCTTGGGCTACGCCCCATGGGCTTGTTTTTATTAACTCGCTTTCTTGCAAATTTTGATACTTCCCAATGAGCTAGGGACTTGAAATTTGAAACATAGCTCACAAATGGATGACAATGCAATACTATATCATTTAATTTTCACATTTCTCTTGGGCTACGCCTCATGGGCTTGATTTCATTAGCTCGCTTTCCTACCAATTTTGATGTAAATTTTAAACAAAGTTCCCGATGAGCTAGAGACTTGAAATTTGAAACATAGCTCACAAATGAATGACAATTCAATATTATACAATTTAATTGTAATATTTCCCTTGGGCTACGCCCCATCGGCTTCCGAATTTTCCTTGTTTACATTTTGAAAGAATGTAAATACTGTATATCAATTAATTTAAGTCAGCTGTGAATACTTAAATTTGACAGTTCAAAGAGCAGAGGTTAAGAGGTACAGGTTATGCTCCCAAGAGATTATATATATATATATATATATAAAAGGCAAAGCCCTCACTGACTGACTCACTGACTGACTGACTCACTCACTCATCACTAATTCTCCCACTTCCCACTTACCTAGGAGGCTGAAATTTGGTACACTGATTCTTTAGGCATTAAATAGGAAAACTAAGTGGTTTTTATTCTAATCGGACTCTCGGGCTCCGCCCCAGTGGCTCTGGAGTTTCCCATGTAAACCTAATGAGTACCCATATTTAAATGGAATTAATGAATCATAACAGCTGTTTCAATTAAACAAGTTGGTTCTGTTCTATGATGTTCAATAGCATTAAAGTTACAAGGATTACCAATAGAGTGCAGCACTATTATTTTTTTTTATATTTGACAACAGCTAATTTGAAACCAGAAGGTGAGTGAGCGTAGCGAACGAACTTCAACCCGGAGGCGAGGTAGCGTAGCGAACGAGCTAACCTGAAGGCAAGTGAGCGCAGCGAACGAGCTCCAACCGTAAAGGTGAGTGAGCGTAGCGAACGAACTTCAACCAGGACGTGATTGAGCCATGCGAACGAGCTCACATATGAAGTTAAACGGGGCAAAGCCCGCGGGT